ATCCCAGCATTTTGGGAGGCTGAGGAGGGTGGATCACTTGAGGTCAGTAGTTTGAGACCAGCCTGGCCAACATGGCAAAACCCCATCTCTGCTTAAAAATACAAAAATTAGCCAGGCATGGTGGCATGCACCTGTAATCCCAGCTACTTGGGAGACTGAGGCAGGAGAATCGCGTGAACCTAGGAGGCAGAAGTTGCAGTGAGCCAAGATCGTGACACTGAAGTTCAGCTTGGGTGACAGAGTGAGACTCTGTCTCAAAAACAAACACAGAAAAAAGATATTAGGTAAAAACTAAGGCAGCCTGAAAAAAATTTAGTCTTCAGTTAATAATAATGTATCAACAATGGTTCATTAATTGTGACAAATATACCATGTCAATGTAAAATTGTTAATATGCAGAACTAGATGTGGAGATATAGGAATCTTTCTACTGTGTTCACAATTTTCCATAATTCTAAAACTGTTCTAAAATTAGAAGATTAAGAAATGTGAGGAACAAAGAACTAAAAACTGGATAGAAAAATGGGAGAAAGATGAATAGATTATTCACAAAAAGATAAAAAGGGCCCTCATATATTTGAAAAAAATCAAACTCATAATTAGAGAAATACAAATTAAAACAACACTGACGTACCGTTTCTCACCCATAAGATTGGCAAAGACTAAAATGCATGACAACACACGCATTTGCATAACACACAGGCTGTGGGGAAACACATTTTCCTACATTGCTGGCGAGATTGCAAACTGGTACAGCCCTTCTGGAGGAGAATTTGGCAGTAGCTGAGAGAGCTACAAATGCATTCACCTTTTGACTTGGCAATCCCTCCGCTTGAAATCTACCTGAAGATAAATCATAAATATGAGTCTGGGTGTGGTGGCTCCCACACCTGTAATCCCAGAACTTTGGGAGGCTGAGGTGGGAGGATTGCTTGAGAGGTCAAGTGTGCAGTGAGCTATGATCATGCCACTGCACTCCAGCCTGGGTGACAAAATGAGACCCTGTCTCACAAGAAAAGAAAATACATATTTATAAGGTTATTCATTGCAACATTACTTATAATTGCAAAATATTGGTGAAAACTTAAGTGTCCATAGATAGGAGAGTAGTTGAATAAACTGTGGTATCTCCGACAATGGAGTACCATATAGCTGTAAAAATGGATGAGATCTCTATGAGCTGATATGGGGTGATTTCCATATGTACAGTTAAGAGGGGAAAAAGGCGAAGTGCCAAAAAGTATCCATGGCATGCTACTGGTCATGTAAGACAGAAGAGGTTATAGGAAAATACACATTTCTGCTCATTTATGCAAAAGAAATCTGGGAAAGGTAAATCAGAAATTAAAGAGATTGGCTACCTACAGGGGGTATGTAGGAATGGGGTGACAAGAAGGAAGATATGGAAGCAACATTTTACTCAGTATACCTTTTTGGTTAGCCTGGCTCCAGGAACAATAATAATGTTTCACATACTCCCCAAATAAATAAACAAACCAGAACACTAGGGAAGCCCAAGCTGGAATACAAACACTAGCAGATAAACCTAACTGTATTCCAAATGAATAACCGACCAGACAAGACCTAACTTAAGTAACTGTTGAATACAGAATTTGAACAGGATTCTGTAAGGCAACAGACAGAAAGAGCTACATATCAATACTGTACTCCAGTTAGTAAATTTGTTTCTCACTGGGGTGTGGGTTAGCAATTCTGCAAGTAGTGTATATTTATACTAGGACTGAACAAATAAGTAAATATATTGTAGCTAACGAGGACAAGATTGATCACTGTCAGAGAAAGCAGTTACAAATAAGGAAAGAGAGAAGGAGAGAATGGGCCCTTTGGTGCTGGGGCCATTGAAATCAGAGACATCAATATAAATCTGGTTTTTATAATAGATAGAGATGTATGTGTGTGAGAGTTAGTATACACATACATGTTTCATAACTTTGTCTTCTGAGAGGGCCTAGAAGAAATGACATCCCAGTAGCAGTCAGCATAGCCAGAACCCAGATCTTGGTTTCTAAGTACCACTTTCCAATAAAAGAAACCAGTGCTCCTTAGAAAAGTGGATGGTGATTACAGGGTTGGAAAAGGGCTTATAAGATAAGCTAGAACATCTTTGGTCATCAAAAAAAAAACAAAGAAAGAAAATGCTCCAAAAAGAATGGGGGCTTATCAAAGGAACACAGGAGCCAACCTGAAGGAGCTCTCAATGGCCAAACCAAGAGCAATTTGAGCTACAAAATAAGTAGTAATATTATTGGGTTATAACCCAAAACACAGAATGAATATACATGAGACCTGATGTTTACTTATTGATTTTATATTTATTATTATTTTGAGATGGGGTCTCTCTCTGTTGCCTAGGCTGGAGTGCAGTGGAGTGATCTTGGCTTACCTCCTCTTCCTGGGTTCAAGCAGTTCTCTTGCCTCAGCCTCCCAAGTAGCTGTGACTAGAGGCATATGCCACCATGCCTGGCTAATTTTTTGTATTTTTTTTTAGTAGAGATGGGATTTCACTGTGTTGCCTAGGCTGGTTGTGAACTCCTGAGCTCAGGCAATCCGCCTACCTTGGCCTCCCAAAGTGCTGGGATTACAGGCGTGAGCAGCTGCACCTGGCCTATTTATTAATATTTTTTAATAGAGATGGGGTTTTACCATGTTGCCTAGGCTGGTCTTGAACTCTTGAGCTCAAGTGATCCTCTCGTCTCGACCTCCCAAAGTGCTATGACTACAGTTATCAGCAACTGTGCCTGGCCAGAGACCACAGATTTAAATAAATCATTGAAAAAAAAAAATAAATGGGGGAGAAATAACCATATCTTCTTTTCAGAAGAATTTCAATTAATAAATGTAGAAGGAAGCTGGGTGCAATGGTGTACTCCTGTAATCCCAGCAATTTAGGAGGCTGAGATGGGAGGATGGCTTAAGCTCAAGAGTTTGAGACCAGCTTGGGCAACACAGCAAAACCCTATCTCGACAAAAAATACAAAAATTAGCTGAGCATGGTGGCACAAGCCTGTAGCCCCAGCTACTTTGGAGTCTGAGGTGTGAGGATCACTTTAAGCCCAGGAGGTTGAGGCTACAGTAAGCTGAGATCTCATTACTGCACTCTAGCCTGGCAAGAGCAAGAACCTGTCTCAGGGAAAAAAAAAAAAGAGAGAGAGAGAGAGAAAGAAAAACAGGGAAATAGAAAAGCACCATAAAGCACTAATAATCATAAAAGAAAGATACACCAATGGATGCTGAAATTAGTAGGTGGAATTTTGAGGAGAAATAGAATATTTTGGTCACCTCAAAAGATCTCCTCCAAGATATTTATTTGACACAATTTCTCAAGTTTATAAAATGTAAATGCAAATTTACAAAAAGTATAAAATTATTAATTGCAAAGAGAAACATAGTAGCTTTATAGTAGAGAAACTCAACCAAGTCACAGTTAGCTAAGTGATCAAGATTAATACCATCAGTAAGAAGACTGACATCACAAAGCCCTTGCTGTATGCACTGAAGCAAGCATAACACTGTTTATACAGTGTTCTTGCCAAAAACTGTAACTTCAATCTAATCATGAGAAAAACCTTAGCCAAACCCAAACTGACGGACATTCTGTAAAATAGCTTTTTAAAAGTGTCAAGGTCATTAAAAACAAGGGAAGATGGAGGAACAGTCACAGATTGGAAGAGACCTGGAAACCAAATGTAATGAGTAACCCTGAATTGGATCCTTCAACAGAAAAAGGACATTGATGGAAAAATTGAAATCTGAATAAGGTCCATGGTTTGGTTAATAGTGTCATACTGATATTAGCATCCTAGTTTTGATCAGTGTAACACAGTAACATAAGGTGCTAACATTAGAAGCAGCAGCTGGGTGAAGGGTATGAGGAAACTCTATACTACTTTGCAATTTTTCAGCAAGTCAAAAATTTTTTCAAAATAAAATGTTTTTTAAAAATCAAGGTATAGGCTGGGTGTGGTGGCTCACACCTGTAATCCCAGCATTTTGGGAGGCCAAGGTGGGTGTATTACTTGAGGCCAGGAGTTCCAGACCAAGCTGGCCAACACGGCAAAACCCTGTCTCTACTAAAAATACAAAAATTAACTAGGTGTGGTGGCACACACCTGTGATCCCAGCTACTCAGGAGGCTGAGGCATGAGAATTGCTTGAACCTGGGAGTGGAGGTTGCAGTGAGCGGAGATCACACCACTGCACTCCAGCCTGGGCGACACAGTAAGACTCTGTCTTAGAAAAAGAAAAATTAAAAAAATCAGTGTATGCAGTTTACAGGCACTATACCAAAAACATTAGCATTCAGAAAGACTTAAAAATATGAAAAAAAAAAAAAAAAAAAAAAGCCAAGTAGAGCCTGTTGTGATAGCTTGCACCTGTAATCCCAGCTATGCAGGAGGCTGAGGTGGGAGGATTCCTTGAACCCAGGAGTTTGAGTCCATCCTGGGTAATATAGTAAGACCCCATCCAAAAAAAAAAAAAAAAAGAAAGGCCAGTTATATTCTAAAAAGAAAGTAGACATAGCTGTATTTATAATAGAAAAGATAGGTTATCAGATATTGCAGGTGTAGAACATTTTCAAAATTGCATAGTGTTCTGTTAGCGCTGGTCTAGAACCTAGGTATCTTCGGAATAACCAGTGTTAAGTGTGGGGGGTTGTCAATTTAATAAAGATTTCTTTTATTCTCATCTTATGAGTGAAAAGAGCATAGCCCAGAGAAGTTGTTTCATTATCCCAAGGTCACATAGCCAGGAAGCAGCCCAGCAGAGATTTGAAGCCACGCTTGTCTGGCTCTGAAGCACTGGCTACTCCCTTTCCCATCCAGCAGCCTCCTGGGTGTTTATGGAATGATTGTTGCCTAGGATATTAAGGGATCTGTGGTCAATCCTGACTCCATCCCAGATTCACTGGCTGTGTGACCTCAGGAAATCCTTTTACTTCTCAGCCTCAGCTGCATCGCTAAGAAAATGAAGAAACTGACCTTGCTGTCCTGAGGGTTGGGGATGGCAGGCAAGGGGCCCGGTGTGACAGTTCATTCCCCAGATCCTGTCTGGCTCATGGACGGGCAACCAGCGGGGGTGAGGGGTCCTTTGGTTGGGTTGACCAGCTTTGGTGGATAGCTCCTGTTTCTTGAATGCCCCTAGATGAGAAAGCCGAGGCTCAGAGAGGTAAAGTAACTTGGCCAAGGCTACACAGCAGAGGAGGCAGAACTGGGATTCGAACCCGAGACTCTCTGGTATCATGTCCCTGTTGCAAGACAGAACCGACACCTGCAGGAATCACAAGGAGGTGATGGCCAGGTAGTGAGCTCCCTGTCTCTGGGGGGTGTGCAAGCCGGTGCTGGGCTGTCAGCAGGGCAGGGGCTGGGGCCAGGGCCAAGTCCACCGAGCCAGACCCAGGCCCGCCGGCCTCCCGCGGTAGCCAAGTCCAAGGCGTGAGCATGGGGCGGGGCGGGGCGGGGCAGGGCAGGAGCTGCTATTTCTGTCTGGTGAGCGCAGTTCGTGCAGCTGGCAAGGGAGGGGGCGCCCGCGCCGCCATATTCCCTCCCGCCGGCCGGCACCGCGGCGCGCAGCCACCATGAGCACCGCCGCCTTCCACATCTCCAGCCTCCTAGAGAAGATGACGTCCAGCGACAAGGACTTCAGGTGCGCCCCGCCGCTGGCCCCCGCTTACCCTTACAGCTCTGAAGCCGGGGGTCTTCTTCCCCTCCCGAAGCGCCAGCCCATCCCCCATGACCATGCAGCCCCTGCTCTTCTCCCTGCATTAAGTTGCGCCAGGGACAGAGCCGTTCCTGCCTGGTGGTCCCCACTGAAGCTCAGGCTGTTCTCCCCTAGTGGCCGTCCCGCCCCTCCGTGACTCCAGTCCCTGCTTCGTCTCCCACCTCACAGGCTTCAGCCCTGCCTGTGATCCCCCACCAGAGCCCCAGCTCCGCCCCTTTGCACCCTGCCTTGGCTTCTCCCTCCTGTATGTCCAGCCCCCTTCTTCCCCCGCATCTGATGCCCCAGGCCCCCCTCTTCAGGGAGCCCACAGTGGAGCCCTCCACCTCTCCCTGAGGACCCCAGTGCCTGCCTCTCCTACCCCACATTGAACCCGGGCCCTTCCAGATGGCAACCACCTGCTGACTTTCTCACTAGCACCCTCAGTGATGCCCCCTTCTCAGCATCACCTGTACTCCTCCCTCCCACTCTTCCTCCCCTCTTGGGATTGTTCAGACCCAGCCTAAAGGAGGGGGCTGGGCTGAGTCTGGCTTTCCAGGCACAGGTTAGGTGATGGTTGAGGTGCGGCCTTCTAGGTTTTGTGTGCCACTCCCGTTCCCCACTCCCTTTTCCTTCTTCCCCCCATCACAGCATCACAGTACCACAGAAATAGGGCTGAAAAGAACGGTGGAAACATCTGGTCCATGAGTTTCCACCCACATTCTCCAGGGAACTGAGGCCCAGGGAGGAAACTTGGCCTGCGGTCTCAGGGCCAGTTCTGGCCCTTCCAGCTGAAAGACCTTGGAGACTCACTTATTGAACATTTGTTCACTTTGTCCCCATTTTACAGATAGGGAAACCGAGTCTCAGAGGCATGAAGGAAATAGGTTCAGTCACAAAGCCAGGAAGTGGGAGACAGTTCAAATCCAGGCCAGTTTAATACAGAGGGCAGTTTAATACAGAGGCCCTGTGATTCCAGCCCCCTGACAGGTGAGGAGACAGACCTGCACTGGTAGTCTGACTCCTACTCTCTCCTGCAGTCCATTCCTCAGAACCCCTCAAGAGCCCCCCACATTAATAGAGCCTGGGAACCAAGGTCTTGGCTTGAGATCCCAGCTGCCATCGCTCACTGGCTGTGTGACCGTGGACAAGTTACTTAACTCCCATGAGTCTCCCTCTGCTTCTGCTTCTATAACATGGGGATAACAGAACCCACCTCTGAGGATTGGGGTAAGGATGAAATAAGATAGTACATGTGAAATGCTCAGATTTGTGGCAGGCACCAGGTTGGTGTTTTTAATACATGGACACATGATTTGGTGCACATCCGAAACATGCCATGCCCTGTCCTTTCTCTAGACCTTCACTAGGGGGATTCTTTGCTTTCCCTTGACCTGCTGCCTTCATCTGAAAGCCCCTATAACTCTTTGGGATGCCTGTTGACCTCAGGCAGATTAGGCACCTCCCCTCAGCTCCCATCATGCCTCCCCTCCACATTTCTGCTAGATCACTTTTCAGCCCTGGGAGACCCTGAGCTCCTGGGCCACCGAGACTATGCACTTCTTCTTAGTGCCCCAGCACCTGTGCTGGGTACACAGTAGGTGCTTAGTCAATGTTCGCTGGGTCCCAGGCTGTGCACTCCACATGTAATCTCAGTCCTCCCGTGTGTGGTAGTGATTGTTCCTCCTGTTTTCCGGAGGCTTGGAGGAGTGCAGTGACTTGCCCAAGGTCACATAGCTGGCTCATGGCCTAGAGGATTTGTGCTACTGTCTCTCAGGCCTCGGGTCTAGTCTGTGGGAGAAGGAGTCGGCCCTGCCAGCTAGAGCCCGAGAAGCTCTTTCAGCCCGTCTCTGTCAGCGGCCTGGAGAACACTTAAAACCACCCCCAAGCATGTGAGAATGGTGTCTATTTTTAAAGTTCAAATACCACGGTGCTCGGTCCTGCAGACCAGCTGTCCAGGCGCCCATGTGGCCAAGGGTTTCGGCCAAGGATTTCAGCCAAGTTGCCTCTAGGGTTTCTCTGGAATGAAACTGAGACTGTGTCCTGTGGTTCCTGGAAGGGGGGCAGTGACTGCAAATGGGGTTCCCAGGTGAGGTGGAGGAGACCCTTGGTTCCTGTTCTTCCTGGGCACTGGCTCTATGGGCAGGAGGTGCTCTCTTACCACTGAGGCTCCAACAGTCAAAACGAGTACACTTGTGGGTCTTGCAGGAATTCCCAAGTCATTTCTTAAGAACACAGTAGTATTCTCAAGAAATGACTTGGGAATAGTTTGCTGTTACCTTCGGCAGTTTGTGCAGCCTCTCTGAGCCTAGTTTTCTCACTACCTCATGCTAAGAGCTGGTTGTCCTATTAAAACCTCCCAAGGATACTATGAGGTAGGGGCAAAGAAAAGTTCCCATTTTATATATAGAAAATCTGAGGCCCAGAGAGAAGGAGGTAGTTGCTCAATGTCACCTAGTTGATACATGGCAACACCAATATACTCAAAGCCAAACTGGTGCTCGAGCTCTTATCCACCAAATTATATACTTTCCTTCTCCCTCCCATCCCTGCACACAAATATGTATAAAACATGGCTTGCTTTCTCTGAGAGCTGGTATCCGCGACACCAGGGGTGTGTGAAATCCTGGGTGTGTGAAAACCAATTCAGAGGAGTTGGTTTCTGAGTTTGGGCAGCTCTTAAGGGCGAGCTCTCTCCCTGCCTCTCCTCCTGCCCTCACCCTCCCTGACAAGGCCCCCCGCTGACCTGTTCTTTGTTGAGCCTGGGGTCCCAGAGATAAACCTGTTGGGCCTCTGCCCTCAGTGAGTGTACAGTCCAATGGAGAAGATGCTCTGGTGGCCAGACTTGCACTGCAGTGTGAGAAGTGCTGTAATGGATGGGTCCCTGTCCAGGGACCATTGTGTTTAGGGTCTGTGGATGTCGGGGTAGGGCAGGGCGGTCCGTCATCCCTGAGTTGGGACATTTGAGCTGGGCTCTTGATGGGTGAATAGGAGCTCAACAGGTGGAGAAGAAGTGTGGGGTAGGAGGTCTATCTTGGGCAAAGAGACACATCGCCTGGGTTGCCAGGCTGAGCTGGGCCCCCATGGACTGCAGCAGAAACACAACTTGGAGACCCTGTATGCCATCTCAGAATGTCCCCTCAGCTAAGCAGACGTAGGGGTGCATGAGCCTTGGCCTGGCTCAAATCCAAACCTCCTCCTTTACTTTACTTCTGCCCAGAGGTGGGCACAGTCAGTCCTATCATCCTGCCCCTGCTGCCAGCCCAGCCTCCTCCCTCTCCTAGCAGCTTGTGGCTAATCTACCTGTTAAAAATAAATAGGACATCGACCAGTCCACTCCTGGTAACAGGGCACTGTGGGCTGTGGTGACATCAGCAGTAGGTCTGAGTCTGCACAGATGAGGGCCAGAATCCCAGCTGTGACAGGTTTTTGCCACAGGAGGCTGGGGGCAGGGCACTTGATTTGCTCAACCATGCTGGAAAGCAGGGCCGGTGTGGGGAGGGGAGTGGTCCAGCAGGCTCGGCAAAAGCTGGAGGCTTTCTCCGAGGCAGCCTCGCGGCATCTTTCCTCGCTGCTCTGTCCTGTTTTCTCCTGAGTCTCTGCTTTCAAGTGCCTGCAGGAGCCAGTCAGTGGGTGAAGTAGGCCTAGTCGGGACCAGGTGAACTGGGGAGAGGGCAGCCACGACCTGACTCTAGCTAGATATTGTCACCAGGAATTATAGGTCCTGTTGTATTCAGATATTCTGTTTTCAAGATAATCTGGAAGTCAGTTTTTTCTTTGAGTCTCACTCTGTCACCCAGCCTGGCGTGCAGTGGTGCGATCTTGGCTTGCTGCAACCTCCGCTTTCTGGGTTCAAGCAATTCTCCTGCCTCAGCCTCCCTAAAAGCTGGGACAACAGGTGTGTGCCACCATACCTGGCTAGTTTTCATATTTTTAGTAGAGATGGGGTTTTACCATGTTGGCCGGGCTGGTCTCGTATTCCTGACCTTAAGTGATCCACCCACCTTGGCCTCCCAAAATGCTGGGATTACACGGGTGAGCCACTGTGCCTGGTCTGGAAGTTAGTTTTTTTTTTTTTTTTGAGATGGAGTCTTGCTCTGTCACCCAGGCTGGATTACAGTGGCATGATCTTGGCTCACTGCAACCTCCACCCCTGGGTTCAAGCAATTCTCCTACCTCGGCCTTGTGAGTAGCTGGGATTACAGGTGCCCACCACCATGCCCAGCTAATTTTTGTATTTTTAGTAGAGACAGGGTTTCACCATGTTGGCCAGGCTGGTCTCGAACTTTTTTTTTAGGCGGACTTTTGCTCTTGTTGCCCAGGCTGGAGTGCAATGGCATGAGCTCAGCTCACCACAAACTCCACCTACTGGATGCAAGGAATTTTCCTACCTCATCCTCCTGCAGAGCTGGGATTACAGGCATGTGCCACCATGCCTAGCTAATTTTGTTTTTTTTTAGTAGAGACAAGGTTTCTCCATGTTGGTCAGGCTGGTCTCAAACTCCCAGCCTCAGGTGATCCACCTGCCTCTGCCTCCCAAAGTGCTGGGATTACAGTCATGAGCCACTGCACCCGGCCCGGCCTCAAACTTTTGACCTCAGGTGATCCACCCAAGTTGGCCTTGTAAAGTGTTGGGATTACAGGCATGAGCCACCATGCCGGGCCAAAGTCAACTCTCCCAATGTTCAAATGTTGACAAGTAATTTAAATTTTTAAAAACACGTTTGCCGACTGGGCGCGGTGGCTCAAGCCTGTAATCCCAGCACTTTGGGAGGCTGAGGCGGGTGGATTATGAGGTCAAGAGATCAAGACCATCCTGGTCAACATGGTGAAACCCCGTCTCTACTAAAAATACAAAAAATTAGCTGGGCATGGTGGCACGTGCCTGTAATCCCAGCTACTCAGGAGGCTGAGGCAGGAGAATTGTCTGAATCCGGGAGGCGGAGGTTGCGGTGAGCCGAGATCGCGCCATTGCACTCCAGCCTGGGTAACAAGAGCGAAACTCCGTCTCAAAAAAAAAACATGTTTGCAAGCTGGACACAGCTGAGAGCTACTAGTTTCAGACCTTTGCTCTACCCTCTTAATTTTGGCAGGAATGGTGCCCCGTAATGGCCCCAGCCTCAACTTTCCATGGCTTCCAGCTCAGACTCTCACTGCAATTTGAAATGCCTGGGAGGGTATCAGGCTTTTGGCATCAGGCCCCATGGATCCCCCACCTCTGGGCGGGTAGCCCTTGCCCACTGACTGGTAACAGGGCACTGTGGGCTGTGGTGACATCAGCAGTAGGTCTGAGTCTGCACAGATGAGGGCCAGAATCCCAGCTGTGACAGGTTTTTGCCACAGGAGGCTGGGGGCAGGGCACTTGATTTGCTCAACCATGCTGGAAAGCAGGGCCGGTGTGGGGAGGGGAGTGGTCCAGCAGGCTCGGCAAAAGCTGGAGGCTTTCTCCGAGGCCACTCCAGGTCAGTGAGCCAGTCCATATTGGCACTGGTCTCCAAAATATGCCCATGCCCACCCTCATGATGTAGGGCAGTGGTTTTCAAAGTGTAGTCCCTGACCCTCATCATCATCCAGGAATTTTAGAAATGTGGATTCTTGGGCCCCAACCCAGACCTGCTGATTCAGAAACTCTGGGAATGGGGCCTAGTATTGTTTAACAAGGCCTGCTGGTTATTCAGATGCTGGTTATAGCTGGAGATCCACTGTTCTAGGGCAGGAAACAAGTGGGTTCTCTGAGATGGGAGTGGACAGGGCTCGCCTTCGTCCATCTGTCTGGTAGACAGGCTTTTAGCTGATCCTGACTCGGATGCAGGGTGTCTGTTAAACCTTCTGGCATCCTTTTCTCAGCTGCTGTGAGATGTGGATGATGTCATGTGCCATTATAATAATGGCAGTGCCATTTACTGAGTGCGCACCATGTGCACTTAACCCCGTAAGGCAGATACTAGTCTCATCACCGTCTTCTGACAGGTAAACTAAGGCTTGGAGAGGTGAAATGACTTGCCCAAGATCACACTGCATAAATGGCAGAGATGGGAGCCACTGACCCCGAAGCATTACGCATTAGCCAGCATGCTGGGCCGTTCCTAGTCTGCCACCCTATGGCAGTTGGTGTCACACATAGGTTGGTCTCCTTGTAGCCCAACCAAGCCCACTGCCTAAATAATCCATGGTCATATGGCACTTAATGACAGAGACATTCTGAGAAGTGTATCCTTAGGTGATCTCATCCTTGTGTGAACCTCATGGAGTGTGCTTACACAACCTAGACGGTAGAGCCTCCTACTCCCGCAGGCTATGGTGTGGCCTATTGCTCCTAGGCTACAAACCTGTACTGAGTACCGTAGGCAGTTGTAACAGAATGGTATTTGTGTGTCTAAACATAAAAAAGGTACAATAAAATTAGGTAGAAGAGGGGTGTGGTGGCTCACGCCTGGAATCCCAGCACTTTGGGATGCCAAGGTGGGCAGATCACAAGGTCACGAGATCAAGACCAGGAGGGCTAACACAGTAAAACTCCGTCTCTACTAAAAATACAAAAAATTAGCCAGGCGTGGTGGCATGTGCCTATAGTCCCAGCTCCTCGGGAGGCTGAGGCAGGAGAATTACTTGAAACTGGAAGGCGGAGGTTGCAGTGAGAGATGGCACCACTGCACTCCAGCCTGGGTAACAGAGTGAGACTCTGTTTCCAAATAAATAAATTAAATACATAAAATAAGAACAGACTAAAATGGCATGCTTGTATAGGGCAGCTCCATTATAATCTTATGGGACAACCATTGTATATGTTGCCTGTCATTTACCAAAACATCATTATGTGGCACACGACTGCATTTGACCTTGAATCTTTGTATTAAGGTCTACTTCTAGGGGAGCCCCGAGGTACTGCCCAAATCTACCAGGGCCCAGGAGCTGCTCAGCAATCCTCCTCTGCCCTCCCTGCCCAGGTTCATGGCCACCAGCGACCTGATGTCAGAGTTGCAGAAGGACTCCATTCAGCTGGACGAGGACAGTGAGCGCAAGGTAGTGAAGATGCTGCTCCGGCTCCTGGAGGACAAGAACGGTGAGGTGCAGAACCTGGCTGTCAAGTGGTGAGTGTCAGCCTCTGTGGAGCAGGAGAAGGAGTCCTGCCTGGTGTGGGAGCATCCTGGGGATCCCTGCCCCTTTGGGGTATAGCCTCGCAGAGGAGACCTGCTTAGCAGGTCTTGTTGGATGGTCTGGGTTCCCCCAGAAGGAGATGGTGAGACAAGGATTCATATCTTAAGTTTGTTTGGGAAGTGATCCAAGGAAACATGGTGGAGGAGTGGGGAAGTGAAGAGGACCAATCAAGGGTATGGTATGAAGCAAGTGACCACAGTGGGCCTGATGAGCTTAACTCCATGGGGACCTCTGGGACACAGTACAGGATATGCCCCTTGGACTTTTTCCACCCAAAGGGTGAGGGAGCTGGGGTATTAATCTACCGGCTCCCTGGTACTCATTGGTTCAGGGCTGCTTTTAGGGGTAGGACAGAGGGTTGTTCACTTCCTGCCACTGCCAGCCAGAGAAATCCCTCAGACATATGTAAATACTAGGAAGGTCAGGCTCACACACACCAAGGTGGTAAAGGCTTAAAGGCCAGGCACGCTGGCTCACACCTATAATCCCAGTACATTGGGAGGACAAAGCGGGTGGATCATTGAAGCCAGGAGTTTGAGACTAGCCTGACCAGCATCGTGAAACTCTGTCTCTACTATATACATACACAAAAATTAGCTGGGTGTGGTGGTGCATACTTGTAATCCCAGCTACTTGGGAGGCTGAGAGGCAGGAGAATCGCTTGAACTCAGGAGGCAGAGATTGCAGTGAGCCAAGGTTATACCATTGCATTCCAGCCTGGGCAACAAGAGTGAAAACTCCATCTGAAAAAAAAAAAAAAAAAGGCTTAGGGCATATGGGATTGGGGAGGTCCTAAAAGCCCCAGTCTTAGGTCACTGTGAGGCTGTGATCCTGAGACCTTCTTGGCCAGTTACCGCCACAGTAGAAAAAATAAGATAAGGGTATGTGCAGAGCGTGTGGAGATGCTTGTGTGCTGGGGTCGTTCTCACACTCATATCTGAGAACCACTCATGTAGGGCAGAGGTTGTCAACCTTGACTGCAGGTTAGCATCATCTGGGTAATTTTAAATAGAATTCCAGGGATCAAGAGTGAGAGAACTGGGCACTGCCTCTCTGTGAGCTGGGTCCCGGCATTCTTCTGGGGCATGTTAATGAATTGCCATGTGATCCCAAGAGCAGAGGAAATTCAGAAAAGGGTTTTATGTGGGAAGGTAACATGGTCAAGTTTATGAGCTGGGAGAGTCCTTCTGGCCGTGGAGTGGACTTAGGATGGAGTCGTGGTTTCTCACCAGCAGAACCAATACCATTTTTTTTTTTTTTTTTGAGACAGAGTCTCACACTGTCACCCAGGCTGTAGTGCAGTGGCGTGATCTTGGCTCACTGCGATCTTCGCCTCCTGGGTTCAAGCAATTCTCCTGCCTCAACCTCCCAAGTAGCTGGGACTACAGGCATGTGCCACCACGCCCAGCTCTTTTTTTTTTTGTATGTTTTAGAGATGGCATTTCACTATGTTGGCCAGGATGGTCTCTATCTCCTGACCTCGTAATCTGCCCGCATCAGCCTCCCAAAGTGCTGGGATTATAGGCGTGAGCCACTGTGCCCAGCCCCCCAATACCTTTTTATAACAAATAGTTTGTAATACCATTTTCCTATTAGGAAATGAAATTCACACATTATAAAACCTACCTCTACACATAATGCCCGAACCTTAAACATAAAGGAAAGTTAGAAGGAATGTAGCTTATAGTAAGTCATGTGTGTTTCCGTGTATACATGCTTGGGCACTGTGATGGTAAAAGTGATGAAGTCACAAGAAGCCTGTACCTGCATGTGAACTCATCATGAGTACAGATACAAACAGGTGGCTTTGGGGCCTCAAGTATCAGAATTGGAGGTGTTGCTCTTAGTGGCAAGGTTTTCTTTTCTTTTTTTTTTTTTGAGACAGAGTCTCACTCTGTCACCCAGGCTGGAGTACAGTGGTGCAATCTCCGCTCACTGTGATCTCCCCCTCTCAGGTTCAAGTGATTCTCATGTCTCAACCTCCTGAGAAGCTAGGGCTACAGGCATATACCACCACAGGTGGCTAATTTTTGTATTTTTAGTAGAGATCGGGTTTTACCATGTTGGCCAGGCTGGTCTCGAATTCTTGACCTCAAGTGATCTTCCCACCTTGACCTCCCAAAGTGCTAGGATTACAGGTGTGAGCCACCTGACCCTGCCAGGATTTTCTAAAGTGAGTGACCATCTCCCAATACAGTTTCTCAGGAAACAAAGTATAATTTTCCTTCAATTTATCCCAATACAGTTTCCCAGGAAACAAAGTATAATTTTCCTTCAATTTATCTGGTAATTGTATACTTGGAAAATCTAGAATGTGGTATATTAAAACAATGCAGAAATTATTTTGTGTCTATGTCTAAAATGAAATTTTAGACTCAAATAATTATAGACAGGGCTTTTGCCTATACAAATGCCCACTGGGATGTTAGAAACTCTTGTAGGGCATGGACAGTGCTTTGTTTTGCATTATTTTCCTGCTGTTCTTGACCTTGCCGCCAGAGGCCAGAGTACAACTCAATAGTTATTATGATGACTGGCTAGGTGCAGTGGTGCACACCTGTAATCCCAGCACTTTAGGAGGCTGAGGTGGGCAGATCACAAGGTCAAGAGATCGAGACCATCCTGGCCAACGTGGTGAAACCCCCGTCTCTACTAAAAACACAAAAATTAGCTGGGTGTGGTGGTGCGCGCCTGTAGTCCCAGCCACTCGGGATGCTGAGGCAGGAGAATTGCTTGAACCTGGGAGGCAGAGGTTGCAGTGAGCCGAGATTCTACCACTGCACTCTAGCCTGGTGACAGAGCAAGGTTCTGTCTCAAAAAAGGTTATGATGACCAAGGAACCCCATAAATTGCCAAGGTGGTATTACTCCTACTGGGAACTAGTGCTATAGGAGGTAGGACAGAGGACTCTATGATTACACAGATGGAGGAGCTGCGGAGAAGGAAGTTGAGAGAGCCAAGGTTTGGAAACCATGGTGTGCATGCCTGTAGTCCTAGCTATTCTGGAGTCTGAGGCAAGAGGAACACTTCAAGCCAGCAGTTTGAGACTTAAGGAGGCAGCCTGACTCAGGCTGAGCCTTGGGCCCTTGGACTCACCTCCCCATTCTCTGCTCAGCCTGGGTCCTCTGGTGGGTAAAGTGAAGGAGTACCAGGTGGAGACCATCGTGGACACCCTGTGTGCCAACATGCGGTCGGACAAGGAGCAGCTACGAGACATCGCTGGCATTGGCCTCAAGACTGTCCTCTCGGAGCTCCCACCTGCAGCCACAGGTACCCAGGTCCCCAGGGCTGGGTACTGTTAGTATTTGTCCTAGTTTATGGTAAAAAAAAACAAACAGAAAAACACTGAGGCTCAGAGAGTTGAAGACACTTACCTGAGGTCATTCAGCTAGTAAGCAGGGCAGAGAATTCAGACCCAGCTCAGTTTAAGTTCATGGCTCTGTGTCAGTTAGGAATGCTTTTAGCTCAAGTGATGAAATCTAACCATTGGCAGTTTAAAGAAATCAGGGGTGGTTTTTCTCACATGGCAATCCTGGAGGAATCAGCCGCTCCATTTTTGTAGCAATTGATTTAGTGGCTCAATATCGACCGGGTTCAGGTCTCCCCCCATGTCCCCTCCCTTTATAGGGAAAGCACATGTGTTCCCAGAAGCCCGCAGAAGACTTCCACTTATATCTTACCGGCAAGAGCTGGACCACCCAGTCATTCCCAGCAGCAAGGGAGTCAGGAAAGGAAGTGTTTGTTAGCTTTCCCTGCCTCCCTAGTGGAAGAGGGAAAGGAAAAAGGGTTTGGGTATGTGTTAGCCACCCAGCAACTTGGCCATCAGCTCTCTGCAGCTCCTGTCTCCTTTACTTTGGCCAGACTCTGGGTCAAACCTGGGACCTCTGGAGACCTGGCTCCTGTGGATCAACAAGATTCCCAGGGATGTGGGCTTAGGAACACAGCCAGAGCAGAGGCAGACCAGTGGTGGAGGCTGCCTTTTCCCCAGGCCAGGCCTCACTGTGCCCACCTTGTGCCCTGTGCAGGCTCCGGGCTGGCCACCAACGTGTGCAGGAAGATCACAGGCCAGCTCACCAGTGCCATTGCCCAGCAGGAGGATGTGGCTGTGCAGCTGGAAGCCCTGGACATCCTCTCTGACATGCTGAGCAGGTGTGGGAGGCCACTCTGGGGACTGAGGAAGAGTGGGTAAAAGGGTACAGGGAGTGACTCATATCCACGGAGCTAGCATTTACTGCACACCTGTAATCAGGGCTCCTTCATCATCCCAGCAGCCTCACAAAGAAGAACTCAATTGTCACAATGTTACAGGCTAGGAGGGGTGATGTGGCCTGCCCAAGGTCACAGGGTCAGTAAAACCTCTCAGTACTTGAACAGCTGCTCTATAGAAAAATAGCAGGTGCTGGCCTAGTGTTGGGAATAGGGAGTTAGGTCAGTCTTGATTGTTCCTAGGGAGGAGTTCACAGACATATACAAAGCTGTGACTGCAGCAAGCACAACAAAGGATAGGAGGAGGGTTGATGGGTGCCCAGAGGAGCTCCCAGCCCAGGTGGGAGTGAGGAGCCTTCCAAAAGAGCGTGCTGCTAGGGCCAAGCCTTCTAGGAGGGGCAGGACTTAGCTGAGTTTGGGCAGGTATAAGCGGGATGCTGGAGGGGAGACTGCCCCCAGTCCATAAGGCAGAGACACGGGAAGACTTGGGGTCCCAGAGTCTGCCAGGGGGTTGGGGAGTGGGCTGTAATGTGGAGAGGTGGGTATGGAGAGGTGAGGTGGAGGGCTGGCCGGGAGCCATGGGGTGGGGGTGAGCATTTATGTGTTCTACTCTGATCTTTCTCTCTGCAGTGGAAAGTAGTTGGGAGGGGATTGAACAGGCAGGGGACTGGTTAAGAGGCTGCTATAGGGAAAGCAACTTGGGTTATATTCATGAGGTAGACTCCGCAGGACTTGGAGTGGGCAAGAGAGGCAGGGACTGGAGGCTGACCTCTAGGGTTCTGGCTTTAGTAACTGGCGGGACAGGGGTGCTGTGGTGGGGCACACTGCAGGAGCCAGGAGCAGGTGTGTGGGGAGGAAGGTGATGGATTCAGGCTGGGGCCTGTTGAACTTGAGGCTCCTGGGAGGCACCCACTCAATCACACACTCTATGAGGGCAGGTCCTGGGGTCAGTCTATCTTGTTCACCCTGGCTGCCAGCTGGTGAACAAACAAACCCAGGAGAAGGGGGCTGGGTTGGACATAGAAATAAGGGAAGGTGAGGTCAATGAGTTTGTATAAAGTGAGAAGAGAAAAGGTCTCAGGATGTTTATGGGACACAAAATGCACAGCCTTGGTTGGAAGGTGTGGTTAGAAGCTGCTGAGGCAGGCAGGGGCTGTGCTGTGTATGCAGAAACCATTCTCTGGTGTTGCCTTTTGTCTTGAGCCCAGAGCTCATGATCTCCAAAGGCACTAGGGAGTCATGGAAAGAGTTAAGCAGAGGCGTGACCAGGTGAGAGGTAGATTTTATCCTGCTCTGGTCTCAGCGAGGAGGATGGGCAGAGGGGTGATGGTATTGAGGCAAGTCCTAAACTTCCAAGAAATAGGAACAGCCTTACTTAGATCCCCCACACTTCCCCATCAGGTCCTTCTTCCTAGGCTGGGAGCCAGGCTTTGCACTCCTAAGTGACCATGAGAAGTCCCTTTCTCTCTCTACTTTCTCTCATGTAACAATAAAAAGTAATTAAAATAATTCCTCCTCACAGTTGCAGGGCACCTCTGTTTTGCAAGGGCCATTGAGTTGCCATAATCCTGGGAAGGAGGACGGGAGAGAATGGGGAGAGGGGCGGAGCCTGGCCCAGGCTGCCCACGGGGTGCGACCGGCCTGATGCCCACTCGTGCTCCCCAGGCTGGGTGTCCCTCTGGGCGCCTTCCATGCCAGCCTCCTGCACTGCCTGCTGCCACAGCTGAGCAGCCCGCGCCTGGCGGTGCGCAAGCGGGCGGTCGGGGCGCTTGGCCACCTGGCGGCCACCTGCAGCACTGACCTCTTCGTCGAGCTCGCTGACCACCTACTGGAGCAGCTGCCCGGCCCGCGGGCACCCACCAGCCCGGCTACCATTCACACCCTGATTCAATGTTTGGGCAGCGTCGGCCGCCAGGCCGGCCACCGCCTTGGTAAGGGAGCAGGGCGGGCCTGCTTAGGCATGGTGGGCGGGGATTAGGGGCCGGCCAACGGCTCAGTAACAGGGTGGGGCTTGGGCCGCCGTGTGGGCAGGTCCTAAGGGTGGGCAGCTTCTTTGGTTGGGGGTGGGGCGGGGCCTGGGCTGACATGGTGGGTGGGGCCTGGGGCGTGCCGCTTCCTCGGTTAGCTAGTATGGGGCTGAAGCCTCTGGAACGCAGAGGTTGGGGCTGTACTGAGCTTGAGAGGCGCAGGGCTCACCCTTATCTCGACAAACCACCCGGCCGAGTGCAGATGCTACAGAGAAAGGGATTGGATCAATCACTTCTAAGACCTGGAGGCTGGCTGGTAATTATTTTTTTTTGGTGGAGGGGGACAGAGTCTTGCTCTGTTGCCCAGGCTAGAGTACAGTGGCGCAATCTTGGCTCACTGCAACCTCCACCTCCTGGGTTCAAGTGATTCTCCTGCCTCCCGAGTAGCTGGCATTACAGGCACGCACCACCATGCCCGGCTAAGTTTTTTGTATTTTTAGTAGAGATGGGGTTTCACCATGTCGGTCAAACTGGTCTTGAACACCTGACCTCGTGATCCAGCCACCTCGGCCTCCCAAAGTGCTTGGATTACAGGCGTGAGCCACTGCATCGGGCCTGTAATTATAATTTTAAGTCATGCCACTAAACTGTTAAGTAGACTATTCTGTTCTCCCACTTTGACAATGATAACAGCCTGTGAGCCAGGTTTGAATTTTTAACAAACAATTGGGGGATAATGTGCGCACAATAAACCGCACTATTTAAAGTGTACAATTCAGTGTGTTTTGACCTTTGTGTACACCAGTGAAACTTTTCCATCACCCCCAAAAGCTTCCTTGTGTCTGTTTGCAGTCCAGCTCTCTCTCTCTGCCTTGTCTCGGCAGCTACCGATCTGCTTTCTGTCACTATATATTAGTTTTTTTAGAAATGGAAAGCTGCAATCAGGTTTGAATGTATCTTCAGACACCTTGGAGTTCTGGCTATACCAAAGCAGTTTGGATAGAGTTGGCCTACGGTCAGCCCCTCCGAACTCCTGGCTCTCTCACTGCAAAGGGGCCTTGCAGGCACACGTGGGAACAACCCCAGCTGACATGACCATACTCTGTCCCATCCCTCCTCAATAGCAGCCAGCCCTCAGCCATCCTTGGTTGCGTAGACCTGGGAAAGAGGCCTGTGCAGGCTCGGACAAGGGCTTGGGGTCCATTGGGCAGAAAACTCTGGGGTTCCCAGGTACCCAGACAGAGTGGAATCTAGGATTGTTGGGGGTCTCTAGGTCAGCATGTCCCTTCTTGTACCATGGGGAAGGGTGTGGCTGGAGAATGACATAAGTGGGGTGCTCTAAAGCCTGGATACCAGCCAGGAACCCCACTTTCCTGGTCTATTGGGTCAGTACCTGCCTCCTGCTTCTCTCATCCAGGGGCTTACAACCAAGTGAAGGAAATAAGGCCAGGACATGAATAAAGGTTTTGAGAACAGTTGCTGCTTATTGAGTGCCTGCTCATGCAGAACATGGACTAAGCTTTTTTGACTTTTTTTTTCCTCTTTTTGAGACAGAGTCTCGCATTTCCTCTGTCAGCCAGGCCAGAGTGCAGTGGCATGATCTCTGCTCACAACCTCCACCTCCCAGGTTCTAGCGATTCTCCTGCCTCAGCCTCCCAGGTGGCTGGGATTAAAGGGGCACACCACCATGCACAGCTAATTTTTGTTTTTTTAGTAGAGAGGGGGTTTCACCATGTTGGCCAAGTTGGTTTTGAACTCCTGACCTCAGGTGATCCGCCTGCCTTGGCCTCCCAAAGTGCTGGGATTACAGGTGTGAGCCACTGTGCCCAGCCCAAGCTGCTTATCATTATCACATAATTCATCTTCACAAAATCTCTGCCCAGGAGGCATTTGTTCTCCTTATTGTGAAGATCAGCCACCTAAGGTCAGAGAAGTGTTGTGACCTGCCCATGGTCCCATAGCAGTTGGGTGGCAGAGTTAGGACTAGAACCCACATCTGCTTGACTCTGAAACCTCTGAGTTGAAACTGTAGGGGTCAGAGCTGCAGGTACAGGGACAGGCTGAGTGCTGTGGGCTGGGGGAACTCTGGGAGAGTGTCTGGCTTGACTTCAGTGACCCACCTGGCCCTGCAGGGGCTCACCTGGACCGCCTGGTGCCCCTGGTAGAGGATTTCTGCAACCTGGATGATGATGAGCTCCGGGAGTCCTGCCTCCAGGCCTTTGAGGCCTTCTTGAGGAAGTATGTATGGTGGGGATGCCTGGAGATTCCTTTGGGAAGTTGGTGGGGATGCTGGCCTCAAAGCAGTAAAATTTCAGGACTCCCATTGGGCCCTGACCCCCACTCCCATCCTGCCTGGATCCAGCAAAGCCTTCCTCATCCTGCCCTACAGGTGCCCCAAGGAAATGGGCCCTCACGTGCCCAACGTAACCAGCCTCTGCCTCCAGTACGTAAAACACGACCCCAACTACAACTACGACAGTGATGAGGATGAGGAGCAGATGGAGACAGAGGATAGTGAATTCAGTGAGCAAGGTTGGTAGACAGCCCATCATTGGGGTTGTAAGGTGGAGGTGAGCACAGCTTTCCTGGGATCCCCCAGCTAAAAACAGCAGTGACATTTGGTGTCCCCATCCTGATGCCAGCTCTTCCTCAAGCTCCAGTCCCACCTGCTGTGATGATAGTAGTCAGTGCTGTCATTTATTGAGCATCTGCTGGTCGTGTTCCTCACAATAACCCTAAAAAAACAGGTATTATTACCCCCGTGTTTCAGATAAGGACACAGACTGAGAAGAGAAGTGGCATAGCTGGGCCTTGGAGCCAGGTCTGTCAGACTCCCCCACCTCTGCACTGCCACTGTGTACCCTTTTAGGAATAGCTTTCAGGAGATAGCTTTCTGGGTCTTTAACCCAGCAGAGGAAAGCTCTGATGGTGGAATGGCAGGTACTCGCAGGGGAGCAAGATGTCTCAATGGGGGTGGACTCGAAAGCTTCCTTCTTCCTGTGCCTGTGTTCCTGTCTGTCACTCAGACAGATTTCCAGGGCAGAGATACCCCTAGGCCTGAAGGCAGGGCATAGATGGAGATGATGGATTTAGAGCCTGATGGGGTACTTGGAATAAGATGGAATGGTAGATGAGATTGGACAGGTTTGTGGGAGCCTTGAATGCTAAGCCAGGGAGGTGGAACACTTGTCAGTAATAGGGAGCTAAGGGTGTGTGTTTGTGGGTGGCCTCCTGTGGGGGTGACAGTAGTCCATCAGGGGATGGCTACTGAGCTGCCCAGTGGCCGTGGCCCACTGTGGCTGTCCAGATACCGACGTGGTCCACAGAGTGGTATGGGCAGGGCCGTGCTGGGCTCTGAGCTTGTGCCTCAGGGCACTGCCAGGCAGGACTGTGCCCCTCTGAGCCTCCTGTCTGTCTCCACAGGTGATAGGGCTGGGCCTCATGGGCCTGAATCTCAGCCCTGCCATTCCTGGTTGTGTGGCCTGAGAGTCACCCCCTCTGAGCCTTAGTCTTGTGGTCTGTAAAATGGGGCATGGCAGTACCTTCACTTCTGAGGTGATGGTAAAGACTGCACGAGCTCTTGACTTTCGGGGAGATTTTGGGGTAGAAAGTCACATAAACCCAGTATTTCCTCTTTATTAGTTCTGCCTGGAAGCCTTTGGAATCAGGACCTTCGAGAGGCGGGGATCAGGGGAGAGAAGAGGCCAAAGGGAGGCTCTGTCCCTTCTCCCTTCTGCAATCCCAGTAAACGAAATATCACATAGCCAGACCTGAGGCCAAAAGATGAGTTTTGTGCCCCAAATGGATTCTCCAAGTCTAAACTGAAGACTTGGAAGTCCGTTTTTTCCCTGGTACGGTCCAGACAATTAAGGGTCTGGAGGCAGAGGAGGACCCTAGTCCAAGTATTTCCTTAACTTGGGGCAAGCCACTTCCTCCCTCTAAACCCATTTCCTCGTCTCTATAATGGAAATAATCCCTGTCTCAGAAGGTGGTCAGGAAGCTAAAATGAGATGATGGGTTTGACGTGCTTAGCCCCATCCCTAGCACACAGTAGATGTCCATTAAAAGGTAGGGAACGTTCCCCATAGGGTATCTGTAAATGCTGATCATCAAAGGGTAAAGCACAGTGCCCAGCTCCCTGTCCTCCCCATCCCTTCTCCCCCGAGCCACAGAACTGTCCTGGGAGATGAGGGCTCCACGTGTGTCTTGTTCCTGCTCCAGAAAGTGAGGACGAGTACAGCGATGACGATGACATGAGCTGGAAGGTGCGCCGGGCAGCGGCCAAGTGCATCACGGCCTTGATCGGCTCACGGCCTGACCTGCTGCCCGATTTCCACTGCACCCTGGCACCTGTGCTCATCCGCCGCTTCAAAGAACGCGAGGAGAATGTCAAGGCCGACATCTTCACTGCTTATATCGTGCTGCTGCGGCAAACACGGCCCCCAAAGGGATGGCTGGAGGCCATGGAGGAACCCACCCAGACCAGCAGCAACCTCCACATGCTACGTGGACAGGTGGGTGCGACTTCACCTCCACCCCTACCCCTACCCCCTGATTCGCCCACCCAGCCGCTCACAGTTAGTGTCCCTGGACTTGGAAACTCACCTGGGGAGAACATCCAGCTGTGGAAGGGAAGGTGTCCCCAGGGTGGGGGGCGGGAACCAGCCAGCCAAGCTTCTGGAGCGTAGTGACAGCCAGTCTGCCTGGGTGACCTTGAGCAAGTTGCTTGGTCTCTATGTACCTGTAAACGGATGCAGGAAATTTGCCTAACCCTCAGGGGTCTGTGTGTGGTCACAAACGCCTATCACAGAGTGAGGAACAAGTGCTTGGGAGATACAATCTCGATGCCAACATCCTCCCGGGGATGTTGCAAAGCCTCCTGGTAATGGGCAAGTGGGGAGGTTTCCTGGGTGGTCCCTGACCTTGACCGCCCCCTCCTGCCCACAGGTGCCCCTTGTGGTTAAGGCTCTGCAGCGGCAGCTTAAAGATCGGAGCATCAGAGCGCGCCAGGGCTGCTTTAACCTCCTCACCGAGCTGGCGGGCGTCCTCCCCGGCAGCCTGGCCGAGCACATGCCTGTGCTGGTATCAGGTAGGCTGGACCGACCGCAACCAGGTATCTCCTGTTCTGGGCCACTTCCAGAACCCAGACCCCACCCCTGAATTGAGTCCCCAGTTCCTGAGAGAGTCTGGGACCCAGTACCAGGCTCAGTCCCTGATCAAGAGTCTCCGTTGGCCTCCCACTACCAGCAGTGAGAACAAGGCTGGTTCCAGTGAGTTCCCTGGCCATGTTTCCCTCAGCCCTGGTCACTGGTCAGTGCTGACTTCTTAGAAACTTCTGCAGAAGGTTTACGTGCTTCAGTTCAGCTCAGGCACCTGTAGGTACTCCAGCCTTGCTTCCAGGGAGGGCCATGTCGCATCAGAGTTGGTGGCCTCATAACCCTTGTACTCACACTGCAGGCATCGTCTTCTCACTGGCCGACCGCTCCAGCTCCTCCACCATCCGGATGGACGCCCTGGCCTTCCTGCAGGGGCTGCTGGACACCGAGCCAGCTGAGGCCTTCCACCCACACCTGCCCACTCTCCTGCCACCTGTGATAGCCTGCGTGGCCGACCCTTTCTACAAGATTGCAGCTGAGGCACTGCTGGTGCTACAGGAGCTGGTGCGGGCCCTGTGGCCACTGGACAGGCCTCGGACACTGGATCCTAAGCCATATATTGGAGAGATGTCTGCGGCCACCCTGGCACGACTCCGTGCCACTGATCTGGACCAGGAGGTGAAGGAGCGGGCCATTTCCTGCATGGGCCATCTTGTAGGCCACCTGGGTGACTGGCTTGGAGATGACCTGGAGCCCACATTACTGCTCCTCCTGGACCGCCTGCGGAATGAGATCACCCGGCTGCCCGCCGTCAAGGCGCTGACGCTGGTGGCTGTATCCCCACTGCGGCTTGACCTGAAGCCCATCCTGGCTGAGGCACTGCCCATTCTGGCCTCATTCCTGCGTAAGAACCAGCGGGCTTTGCGGCTGGCCACGCTGGCAGCCCTGGATGCCCTGGCCCAGAGCCAGGGCCTCAGTCTCCCACCATCTGCCATGCAGGCCGTGCTGGCTGAGCTGCCTGCCCTGGTCAATGAGAGTGACATGCATGTGGCCCAGCTGGCTGTGGACTTCCTTGCCACAGTGACCCAGGCCCAGCCGGCCTCTTTGGTGGAGGTCAGTGGTCCTGTGCTCTCAGAGCTGCTGCAGCTGCTGCGTTCACCCCTGTTGCCAGCTGGGGTACTGGCAGCCGCTGAAGGTTTCCTGCAGGCCCTGGTGGGGACCCGTCCCCCGTGTGTGGACTATGCCAAACTCATCAGCCTGCTCACTGCGCCTGTTTATGACCAGGCTGTGGATGGTGGGCCGGGCCTGCACAAGCAGGTATTCCACTCACTGGCCCGGTGTGTGGCAGCCCTCTCAGCTGCCTGTCCCCAAGAGGCGGCAAGCACAGCCAACCGCCTGGTCTGTGATGCCAGATCGCCCCACTCCAGCACGGGGGTTAAGGTCCTGGCTTTCCTGTCACTGGCTGAGGTGGGTCAGGTGGCTGGGCCAGGCCCCCAGCGGGAGCTGAAGGCAGTGCTCCTAGAAGCCTTGGGGTCACCCAGTGAGGACGTGAGGGCTGCAGCCTCCTATGCACTGGGCCGCGTGGGTGCTGGCAGTCTGCCTGACTTCCTGCCCTTCCTGCTGGAGCAGATTGAGGCTGAGCCCCGACGACAGTACCTGCTGCTGCACTCACTCAGGGAGGCCCTGGGGGCCGCCCAGCCTGACAGCCTGAAGCCCTATGCCGAGGACATATGGGCCCTGCTGTTCCAGCGCTGCGAGGGTGCTGAGGAAGGCACCCGGGGGGTGGTGGCCGAGTGCATCGGGAAGCTGGTCCTTGTGAACCCACCGTTCCTTCTGCCCCGCTTCCGGAAGAAGCTTGCTGCAGGTAGGTACACAGGCGTGGACAAGGCAGCCCAGCTCGGAGGTGGGAAGTTTGCCACTGAGCATCTAAGCAGCTGGGGAAGAGTGAGCTATTTCAAGTCATTGGGTACAATAGTCACAGTATCTATGTGACAGAGGCAAGGAAGCCACAGAGGAACACGCAGTGATACCTGAGACTTAACAGCTTTCTCCTGTGGGAACCTGTGGGATAGAAGGGACAGAGTTCTTGATAGGTCCCTACAATAAATAAACTTAAAAATTTCATGATATTGGCTGGGCATGGTGGCTTATGTCTGTAATCCCAGCACTTAGGGAGGCTGAAGTGGGTGGATCACTGGTGCCCAGGAGTTTGAGACCAGCCTTGGCAATATGGTGAGACCCTACCTCTACCAAAAAAAAAAAAAAAAAGTCTCATGATGACAACTTCATAATCATTGATGTGGACAGTAGCTTAGTGCTCCACACAGAGGTCAACAAAAGCAGTTTTCTGAGTAGCCATAGACTGCAGCCTGCAGAGGGTCAGCTCTTTGGGGCTACCTTGAGCCAAGAGCAGATGTCAGTGTAGACTGGGATAGGCTGACATACCCCTGGGGCTTGGAGAGGGCTGGGCAAGAACCAGGAGAGGCAGGCTTTTGGCTTGTCATGTTGTGGCATGTCATGTCATGTTTTGGCACACCAGGTATCTTACCTCCAGGAGGTGGAAAGCAGGCAGGTGGGGTCGTGGGACTCCTGGGAAAGTGAGAGCCCCCAGAATGAAAGGCCAATGGGCTTTGAGCTGGGCAGATGGCCCCTTATAGGACCAGTAAATGTTCTGTTGACAGAACACAGGTACAGTGCTTGGTACGCTGTGTGGTACCTACGGTAATTAATACTGAGTAAATCGAGAGCTGCTGCTGTTACTAGGTACCTTAGTGATTTCAGTTAAGGCCTTCTTGGGTGCTGGGTTCATAAGAAGCAGTTGTCTGGTCCATGAAGGTGGATGGAAGAACACTGTTGAGGACACTATTGCATCACACAAAGGGCCTTGAGAGATGAGTCTTAAGATACGGAGGAGCCCGGCTTTGCCTAAACACCTATTTGTTTCTGTCCCATGCACTCTGTTCAATCGGCTACCTGGTCATGTTTCCTTTTTACCATCAGCTGCTGGGAATCTTAGAGCCAGATGTGTGGCCTGCTTCTAGCAGGTTCCTGGGACTTCCTGGGTGATGCTCTCTGTAGGTCCTCCTTCTAGTCTCCTTCTCACCTCCCTGCCTTCCGTCGTCCTTGGCCTTGTTCTTGTTTCCAGTTCACTTAATCTTTTTCTATTGTGTCTTCATCAGCACCCCCTAGATCTTCCTGGGAGCCAGTTAGGCTGGCAAGTGAGAGAGGAAAAACTAAAATTCTGAATTCAGTAACCCTCCCATTCATTCATGCCTTCGCACCAAATTGTAAACTCTCCCTCGAGGCTGAATGTAAGGCCTGTGTGGTGGAAACACTTTAGCCCCTTCACAGCAGTGTGCTGGGGGTTGAGTGGGGGGCAAGAGGGGTGAGCCACTGAGGAGAGATTGAGGCAGGTGGAGTATCGGCCCATTTGTTTCCTTCATTAAGGGAATGTACTCCCCCTCTTTATTCTGCTCCTCTACTCAGAAAGGAACTAGTAAGGGAACTCTCCATGACCGAGCTTGGAGATGATCTTAGTTCTGTTAGGTCCCCCTGGCTGCCAGCTAAAACACAGGCCCAGGAAGAGGCGCCCAGCCAGGAATTCTGATCTGCTGTGTGGCCTTAGAAATGAACTTACCCTCTCTGAGACTCTTTTCTCATGTGACAAAGAGATGATTTTCACTGGTGATTTTAATGGCATTTTCTCACTATTAAATAATATGATCATTATTAGGACTAATTGAGATAATGTGTCTAGCGTGTCTGAAAAATCTCATGCAGTCCCAAGGCCTGAGGGAAGGTCTCTGTTAGAGCAGTTGCTGTCTTGGTTATTGGTTCCATTTGCAGCCTGTGGTGTGGTTACCTGAGCACTGGCAGCCTTACTGTTTGAGCTGCCTCAGGAAGAATTGAGGGGAGATTCAAGGCTGCCAAGAGAAATTATAGAATCTGCCTTCCCAGAGATGGGGAGAGGGTACAGTTGTCTTCCAGGGAGGCAGGGGGAGGAACCTCAGTGCCTTCTAATGTGTGAGCCTCCAGGATTGTCCCCTGCCCCTCACTAAGTCACTTCTTGTCCTGCAGGTCGGCCCCACACCCGGAGCACTGTCATCACAGCTGTCAAGTTCCTTATCTCAGACCAGCCCCATCCCATTGACCCCCTGCTGAAGAGCTTCATTGGTAAGCACCTGCCTCCTGCCCCTGCGCCTTGTTGAGTATCCCCACCCAGTCCTTGAGCTTGGGCTGATGTTTCCTATCCAAAGGCCAAGGGCAGTGGGAGACGTGCCTAAGATGGGCAGTGGGGCCTGGCCTTCAGTTAAAAGGCCTGGGTTCATATCCCTGCCTTTCTACTGCCACTGAATCACAGGTGGGCCTGGCATGCCCCATTGTACCTCTAAGCCTCGCTTTCCTCATCTGCCAAATGGGCATGAGAAACTTTTATTATCTGCTTCTAGAGTTGTCCTAAAGGCCCATGGGCTACTGAGTGAGAAGATGCTTCATAAACACACAGATTCTTGGGAATGGAAAACCACCAGCCTCTCACATACCTTAGCTTTTGTGGGCCCCAAAGTGGGGCAGGGACGAGCAGCACCCCCAGATCGCCTTCCATCTGAGGGGCCTTGTGGCCTGAGGAGACTTCACTGGTAGGAGAACTGAGACCTCCCTTTGGGGCTCGGCAGGACTACCAGGTTTTTCCTAGGAAGGCAGGGCCCTCACCCCTTCAGAGCTTGAAGTCTGCAGCCTGGGCCACACTGGGGTCTAGGCCCACATCTAGGCGGGCAGCCCAGTAGAGCTCACCAGCCTCAGGTTCAAATCCTGGCCCTGCCATTCACTGGCTGTGTGAGTGTGAACAGGTCTTCTCTTCCTCAGTTATAAAATGGGGGTACTGGACCAGGTGGGGTGACTCACGCCTGTAATCCAGCACTTTGAGAAGCCAAGGCAGGTGGATTGCCTTAGGTCAGGAGTTTAAGACCAGCCTGGCCAACATGGTGAAACCCTGTCTTTACTAAAAATATAAAAATTAGCTGGACGTGGTGGCAGGTGCCTGTAATCCCAGCTACTCGAGAGGCTGAGGCACGAGAATCGCTTGAACCCCAGAGGCAGAGGTTGCAGTGAGCTGCGATTGCATCATTGCACTCTACTCTGGGCGACAAGAGTGAAACTCCGTCTCAAAAAAATGGGGGTGCTGATCCCCATCTGCCAGGGCCCTGTTATGTGGGACCAAGGGGTCAGACCACATTCTGCACTGGAGAACATGTGCAGAAGCTGTAGCAGTGTCATCAGCAGCAACCTCGTCCCTTGCCCTAATGCAGTGGGCACATGCCCCCCCCCCCCCCCCGGCCTCATTTCCTCCACCGTGATGGAGCTGCCCTTGACTGACACCACCAGTGACCTTCACCTAGGGGTTCTGGTTTACTTTAGAACATTTGAACTGGTTTTTGAGCTCTTTAATATACCTCATTACAGTGGATCCTCACAGGCCCCTGAATGGTATGTAGCACTGGCCCATTTTACAGATGAGGAAACTAACTCTCAGAGTAGGGATGTGAACTTAGGTCTTGCCAGTTCCCCACAGCTGTGTTCTCAGAGAGAACATGGAACCTCGGAGCCAGTGCAGCACCATTGAAAGGTGAAGAAGCGCCGGCTCTGAGCTTGCATCCTGCTCTGCTGGGAGCCTTCCTGCCCTTCCCAGTGCATTGCACCAGGGGCACATGGAGGTGGCTTGTTCCCTGGCTGGCGATGGTGACTTTCATCACCCAGTTCAGGTGGACACTGCCAGGGTTTCTCTCCACTCTAAAGTCACTTTTTTCCTTTGGAACGAATATGAAGTTTTGAGTACAGAAAATAAGTGTTTCATATAAATGTGCTTGTTTTCATCAGTTTTTTTGCCCACTAGGTTTAACATCATGGCTGTTTCTTGCCTGAGTCAATGGTTTCTGTGATATTTGCCAAATGGTGACTTTCTAGTTCCATTGTTCTTTCCATAGTTATAAGCTTGCATTCTACTGTCAGGAAGAACTTTTTCTTCTCTCCCATTTATTTATTCATCAATTTATTTGTCATTAGAGATTCATGGCTTCTTCCCACTTCATTCCATGGGTTATAACCTATTACTCTTTATTTAATTTTGATGCTCAAGATTATCTCAGATTTAGCCATTGGGAGCCCTTCAAGCTGGTTTCTATTTTTTAGTGACATGTTTCCATCTTTTTTTTTGAGAGACAGAGTCTCACTCCGCCACCCAGGCTGAAAGGCAGTGCACAATCATACCTAACTGCAACCCTTGCCTCCCAGGCTCAAGCAGTCCTCCCACTTGAGCCTCCCAAGTAGCCGGGACTACAGGTGTGCGCCACCTCACCTGGCTGATTTTTTAAATTGTTTACAGAAACAAGGTTTTGCTGTGTTTCCCGGGCTGGTCTCCAACTCCTGAGCTTAATTGATCCACCCATCTTGGCCTCCCAAAGTGCTGGGATTCCGGGCATGCGCCCCTGCACTCAGCTTCCATCATTCTCTAAATGTATCCTTGTTTTTGGCACAATAAGATGCTCCAGATTCATCCCGAACCTTTCCTGCCCAAGTCCTGGAATCAGCCATTTCTCCAAGGAGTCCTGATTCCTTTTAGTGGTGAATGGTATTTAGAATCCAAGATCTGGACACACTAGATGTGCCTGTTGCTATTGGGGCATCATTGCTTCTAGGCCCTCTTAGTAGACAGATCTAGGAAATACGTCTATACGCAGAGACACAAATGCCATGTGTATACATGTGCTTCCAGATGCACATTCACGTACATCGTTCTCCCTCTCTCCTTCCCTCCCTGCCTCCTTTCTCCCTACCAACCACCTATCTTGAAAACCTTGAGTTCATAGCTGCTTCCTGTTGCACTGTAGCCCCCTTTCCATATCTGTAACTCCTTTCTCTCACAGTGAGAAACCCAGCTCCCATTATCTACAAGACATTTATTCTCTTAATCCTGAAATACACAGAAAGTAGTCTGAGCATTGCTGACTTTTATCTCTGTGAAAATTAATGTTCATGTGTAGTTTTTTGTCATTCGCTAGAGGGCATCTAGTCAAAATACTCTGGAAGTGGCTTGGGTTGTTTTTCTCCTTCATAACCTGGGTGGTTATGTGGATCATTTTAAATACAGTTTTTGTTTTGTTCTTTTTTGAGGACAGGCATGGTGGTTCGTGCCTGCAATCACAGCACTTTGGGAGGCTGAGGTGGGAGGATCACTTGAGGTCAGTCGAGACCAGCCTGGCAAAACCCCATCTCTACCAAAAAATACAAAAATTAGCTGGGCATGGTGGCACACACCTGTAATCCCAGCTACCTGGGAGGCTGCATTACTTAAACCCGGGAGGCGGAGGTTGCAGTTACCGAGATTGTGCTTCTGCACTCCAGCCTGGGCGACAAAGCGAGACTTTGTCTCAAAACAAAAAATAACAAATAAATACAGTTTTTGCGTTTTGGTTTTATTTTCAGGGATTCTCTATCCTTGATTATATTTCTTTATTAAGTATCTAAAACATTAACAATTCTAAAATGTTTAAACTATGATGGCCGGGCATAGTGGCTCATGCCTGTAATCCCAGCATTTTGTGAGGCTGAGGCAGGAGGATCACTTGAGTCCAGGAATTTGAGACCAGCCTGGGCAACATAGTGAGACTCCATCTGTAAAAAAAAAAAATGATTTTGTTTAAGTTTAAACTCTATATCATAGTCCCTTTTCTGCTACTATAACAGAATACTACAGATTGGGTAATTAATAAAGAGGAGAAATTCATTCCTCACAGTTTTGGAGTCTGGGAGGTCCGAGAACATGGCACCAGCATCTGGTGAGGGCCACCCCATGGTGGAAGGGCAGAGTGAACATGGGAGACAGAGAGACGAGATGGGGGCTGAGCTTTTCCTTAACAGGAGCTTCCTCCCATGATCCCTGACCCATTCCTGTAGTGCCAGCATCAATCCATGCCTTGGGGCTTCACCTCATGACCTAGTCACCTCTCAATACTATTACTATGGCAATTGAGTTCCAGCATGAGTTTTGGTGGGGACATTCAAATCATAGCACTGTACAAGTCTGGGCGCAGTGGCTCATGCCTGCAATCCCAGCATTTTGGGTGGCCGAGGTGGGTGGATCACTTACGTCAGGAGTTTGAGACCAGCCTAGCCAACGTGGTGAAACCCCGTCTCTATTAAAAATACAAAAATTACCCGGGCATGGTGGTGCACACCTGTAATCCCAGGTACTTGGGAGGCTGAGGCAGGAGAATCGCTTGAACCTGAGAGGTGAGGTTGCAGTGAGCCGTGGTTGTGCCATTGCACTACAGCCTGGGCGACAGAGTGAGACTCCGTCTCAAAAGCAAATCATAGCACTGTACAAAAAGGAGCATCCTGAGAAGTGCTGGGAACTCTGTAAGTTTCTCGACCTCTCTGATCTTCAGGAGCCTCACCGGTAATACCAAGTTAACATTCATGGATCCATGCTCTGTGTGCCAGGCATTCTGCTGTGTACTTTTAATACATTACCATGTTACATTTTTTTTCAAGATAATGCTGAGGCACCACATTTTTAATTCTAAAAGCAGTCCTATAGCATAGGTTCTCTTATGACTACCATTTTATAGATGAGGACATTGAGGCATTCAAGGTCCCCCAGTTAATTGGTAGAGCTGGCATGGAAGCCAGGTCAGCCTCAAACCCACATCCTTTTTTTTTTTTAATTGCATTTTAGGTTTTGGGGTACATGTGAAGAACATGCAAGATAGTTGCATAGGTACACACTTGGCAGTGTGATTTGCTGCCTTCCTCCCCTTCACCTATATCTGGCATTTCTCCCCATGCTATCTCTCCCCAACTCCCCACCCCCCACTGTCCCTCCCCTATTCCCCCCAGCAGACCCCAGTGTGTAGTGCTCCCCTCCCTGTGTCCATGTGTTCTCATTGTTTAACACCCACCTATGAGTGAGAACATGCGGTATTTCATTTTCTGTTCTTGTGTCAGTTTGCTGAGAATGGTGGTCTCCACATTCATCCATGTCCCTACAAAGGACACGAACTCATCATTTTTGATGGCTGCATAATATTCCATGGTGTGTATGTGTCACATTTTCCCTGTCCAGTCTATCATCGATGGGCATTTGGGTTGGTTCCAGGTCTTTGCTATTGTAAACAGTGCTGCAATGAACATTCGTGTGCATGTGTCCTTATAGTAGAACGATTTATAATCCTTTGGATATATACCCAGTAATGGGATTGCTGGGTCAAATGGAATTTCTATTTCTAGGTCCTTGAGGAATCGCCACACTGTCTTCCACAATGGTTGAACTAATTTACACTCCCACCAGCAGTGTAAAAGTGTTCCTATTTCTCCACATCCTCTCCAGCATCTGTTGTCTCCAGATTTTTTAATGATCGTCATTCTAATTGGCGTGAGATGATATCTCAATATAGTTTTGATTTGCATTTCTCTAATGACCAGTGATGATGAGCATTTTTTCATGTTTCTTGGCCTCATGTATGCTTTCTTTTGTAAAGTGTCTATTCATATCCTTTGCCCACTTTTGAATGGGCTTGTTTTTTTCTTGTAAATCTGTTTTAGTTCTTTGTAAATTCTGGGTATCAGCCCTTTGTCAGATGGATAAACTGCAAAAATGTTTTCCCATTCTGTTGGTTGCCGATTCACTCTAGTGACTGTTTCTTTTGCCATGCAGAAGCTGTGGAGTTTGATTAGGTCCCATTTGTCTATTTTGGCTTTTGTTGCCAATGTTTTTGGTGTTTTGGTCATGAAGTCCTTGCCTACTCCTATGTCCTGAATGGTTTTGTCTAGATTTTCTTCTAGGGTTTTTATGGCGTTTGGTCTTATGTTTAAGTCTTTAATCCATCTGGAGTTAATTTTAGTGTAAGGTGTCAGGAAAGGGTCCAGTTTCTGCTTTCTGCACATAGCTAGCCAGTTTTCCCAACACCATTTATTAAACAGGGAATCCTTTCCCCATTGCTTGTTTTGGTCAGGTTTCTCAAAGATCGGATAGTTGTAGATATGTTCTGTTGTCTCTGAGGCCTCTGTTCTGTTCTGTTGATCTATATCTCTGTTTTGGTACCAGTACCATGCTGTTTTGATTACTGTAGCCTTGTAGTATAGTTTGAAGTCCAGTAGTGTGATGCCTCCCACCATGTTCTTTTTGCTTAGAACTGACTTGGCTATGCGGGCTCTCTTTTGGTTCCATATGAAGTTTAAGGTGTTTTTTTCCAGTTCTGTGAAGAAGGTCATTGGTAGCTTGGTGGGAATAGCATTGAATCTGTAAGTTACTTTGGGCAGTATGGCCATTTTCACGATATTGATTCTTTCTAACCATGAACATGGAATGTTTCTCCATCTGTTTTTGTCCTCTCTTATTTCATTGAGCAGTGGTTTATAGTTCTCCTTGAAGAGATCCTTTACGTTCCTTGTTAGTTGTATTCCTAGGTATTTTATTCTCTTTGTAGCAATTGTGAATGGCAGTTCATTCTTGATTTGGCTCTCTTTGAGTCTGTTATTGGTGTATAGGAATGCTTGTGATTTTTGCACATTGATTTTGTATCCTGAGACTTTGCTGAAGTTGCTTATCAGTTTCAGGAGATTTTGGGCTGAGACAATGGGGTCTGCTAGATATACAATCATGTCGTCTGCAAATAGAGACAATTTGACTTCCTCCTTTCCTAATTGAATACCCTTTATTTCTTTTTCTTGCCTGATTGCTCTGGCTAGGACTTCCAGTACTATATTGAATAGGAGTGGTGAGAGAGGGCATCCTTGTCTAGTGCCAGATTTCAAAGGGAATGCTTCCAGTTTTTGCCCATTCAGTGTGATATTGGCTGTTGCAAACCCACATTCTTATCTGGCCTTTGAAGGGTTGTTTGTGCCTGGTATAAAGTAGATGCTCACCACACCCAGCTTACCCCCATTCAGCGAGTTCTGCAAATGCATAGTAACCAGATGGCCGGGGTGGTGGGGGAGGTGACTTTGGGCTTTGGCTGTACATCCCCACACCCCTCATGTCCTCCTGCCAGGAGAGTTCATGGAGAGCCTGCAGGACCCAGACCTGAATGTGCGCCGTGCAACTCTGGCTTTCTTCAACTCGGCCGTGCACAACAAGCCCTCGCTAGTCCGGGACCTGCTGGATGACATCCTGCCCCTCCTCTACCAGGAGACAAAGATCCGCCGGGACCTCATCCGAGAGGTGCGGAGCAGAACCGGGGACCCTGGGGAAGATGCCCCCTCTCATGCCTCCCTGGTAGGGCAGCATCTCATCAGAGCAGGTGCTGAGGCCACATGGCCTGAGTCAACTCTTGTCCCCAGTCCCAGCTGTGTGACCCCAGCCAGGGCAACCTGATCCTCTCGGAGCCTCAGTTTCTCCTCGTGAGCACATGAGGGTGCTAATTGTGTCTGCTTCGTAGAGTTGCTGCAACGATTCGGTGAACGAGGTCCTGTAAGTGTTTAGAACCACCATAGGCACACAGCCAGTGCTCAGTAAATGTTGACATTCGGCAGGTGCTCATGGAGCATCTGTGCTGAGCCCAAGTACCAGGACTCAGAGTTGGACCGGATTTGGTTTCCACAACCAAGGAGCTCATCATGGCCCCTAAAGGAGAGAGATGCTCACTCTGCTGATTACAGACAGCCCCTGCCTTATAATGGTTCAACTTTACGATGGTGCAAAAGCAGTAGCATTCAGCAGGCTCTTCACCTTATGATGGGGTTGCCTCTGGCAAGACCATATCTTCAACTTACAAGGTGACAATCCCATCATACATCAAGAAGCAGCTGCATTTAACTTGGGCCCATCTGGTAAAGTAAGGATTCAAGGGGCAGAGGTTAAAGGTGATTTAATAAGCTGAGTCATCACACAGGATACTAGAAAGGTCTGAACCATTTGGCAGCACGGAATTGGCAACACTGAAGCAACTCTGTTTACAGGGACTGCAAAGGTTTCCCTATTTTTTTTTTTTTTTTTGAGACAAGTGTCTCAGCCTGTATCCCCAGGCTGGAGTGTAGTGGCGGACAATCTTGACTCACTGCAGCCTCTGCCTCTCAGGTTCAAGCAATTCTCATGCCTCAGCCTCCCAAGTAGCTGGGATTACAGGCACCTCCCACCATGCCTGGCTCATTTTTGTATTATTAGTAGACATGGAGTTTCACCGTGTTGACCAGGCTGGTCTTGAACTCCTGACCTCAGGTGATCCAACTGCCTCAGTCTCCCAGAGTGCTGGGACTACAGGTGTGAACCACCATGCCCAGCCCAGAGGGGCCCTTTAAGCTGGGCTTTGAAGGGTAAAAAGCCGTTTACCATTAAAACAGGGCTTCATGGTTGAAAGCTTCAGAAAGACCTGGGTGTGTTGTGTTGTTTTTTGAGACAGGGTCTTGCTATGTCACCCAGGCTGGAGTGCAGTGGCACAATCACAGCTCCCTGTAGCCTCGACATCCTGGGCTCAGCAAACCTCCCACCTCAGCCTCTTTAGTAGCTGGGACTACAGGCGTGTACCACCATGCCCAGCTAATTTTTTGTACTTTTTTTTCTTGTAGAGGTGGGGTTTCGCCACGTTGCCCAGGCTGGTCTCAAATTCCTGGGCACAAGTGATCCTCCTGCCTCGGCCTCCCAAATTACTGGGAGTACAGTTTCCATGTCCAACCTACCTGGGTTTTAAATTCCAGTTCAGCCATTTACAAGCAGTGTATCCTTAATTAGCCTGTCCAACTCAGTTATTAACCTGCCCAACTCAGTTTCCTCATCTGTTAAACGAGATCAGTAACATTTACATTTTTTTTTTTTTGAGATAGAGTCTTGCTGTCACCCACACTGGAGTGCAGTGGTGAGATGGCAGCTCACTGCAAGCTCTGCCTCCCAAGTTCAAGTGATTCTTCTGCCTCAGCCTCCCGAGTACCTGGGACTGCAGGCATACTCACCATGCCTGGCTGGTTTTTTGTATTTTTAGTGACAGGGTTTCACCGTGTTAGCCAGGATGGTCTTGATCTCCTGACCTTGTGATCCACCTGCAGGGGCCTCCCATAGTGCTGAGATTATAGGCATGAGCCACCATGCCTGGCCAATAACATTTATTTCTGATGGCATCTGTGATGCTTGAATGAAGTGTCATCCGTCAAGCACTCAGCACAGTGCCTGCTCAGTAGATTGTAATAATAATGACTCTTACTGCCACTGTGATCACCTGGGGGAGAGGATACTGCAGGCTGAGCAAAGGCATGGAGACTTGAGAGTCTGAGGCATGATTTGGGCCAGTATGCAGTGTGGAATAGAGATGTGGGGTTTGTAGCAGAAACTGCAAGCGGTGTTGCACCGTGTGGCCATATCTACAACCTTCAGTTGTCCTTCCCTCCTGCAGGTGGAGATGGGGCCCTTTAAACATACAGTGGACGATGGGCTGGATGTGCGGAAGGCAGCCTTTGAGTGCATGTACTCACTGCTTGAGAGCTGCCTGGGCCAGCTGGATATCTGTGAGTTCCTCAACCATGTGGAAGACGGGCTGAAGGATCACTACGACATTCGGGTAGGACCAAGCCCCCTGCCAGATCTGTGTGCCCCTGTACCAAGGGACAGTCAGGCACCACTGGGCCCATGCTTGTTTGTCCTTGCTCCCTACTCCAGGCACCCAATGAAAAGAGCTGCATTGTTGTTTTCTGATAAGAAAAGGAATCTGTGCCTCAAACAGCTTTGGTGGGAGTCTACACTGGGCAAGCTCTTTGGAGGATGGTTTGGCAGCAACTGGAAAAAAAAATTGTCCAGGCGCAGTAGCCCATACCTACAATCCCAGCACTTTGGGATGCCAAGGCAGGAGGATGGCTTGAGCCCAGGAGGTTGAGGCTGCAGTGAGCTGAGATTATACTCCAACCTGGGCAACGCAGTGAGACTGTCTCAAAAAAAAAAAAAAAAAAAAAAAAGCGGGGCGGCGGGGGTGGGGGTGGATTCCCAGACAAAACTTTTGACCCAGCAACTCCATCTCAACCCATTTGACCCATACACAAAGCTTCTGAGCTGACTCCTACACCTGTTCTGAATTTTATGTACAAAATTATTCTTCACAGCCTCTGGGAGTTGGGAAAGCTGGCAACTGCCTAATTGTCCATCTGTAGATAACTGGCTCCATCAGCTGGGCACCTCCCGCTGTGGAATGCTAGTGACATTAAGGAGCAAGCTGCATCTCTTCATGTTGTGACCTGAAAGAGCTCCAAGCCCCAGTATTGAGTGGCAAGAGCTAGTTCCAGAAGTGAGAGCCATTTTCTTACCTGAGGGAGTGAGTCTGGGGCCGGCGGGGCAGTTGGGAGACTTTGGTTTCTTCATTTTATATCTTTCTATATCTTTTTTGAAATTTTAAAGTTTATTCACATATAAAATAGAAATCATTACTTTTTAATTGTTGCAAAATAATACAAGTTACCATCTTCACTATTTTTTCTTTTTTTTTTTGAGACAGAGTCTTGCTCTGTCATGCAGGCTGGAGTACAGTGGCATAATCTTGGTTTACTGCAACCTCTGCCTCCCAGGATCAAGTGATTCTTGTGCCTCAGCCTCCCTAGTAGCTGGGACTAACGGCACCCAACACCCTGCCTGGCTAATTTTTTTTTTGTATTTTTAGTAGAGATGGGGTTTCACCACGTTGGCCAGGCTCGTCTCGAACTCCTGACCTCAAGTAATCTGCCTGCCTCGGCCTCCCACAGTGCTGGGATTACTGGAGTGAGCCACTGCAACAGACCCCATCTTCACTTTTTTTTTTTTTGAGACAAAGTCTCGCTTTGGCACCCAACCTGGAGTGCAGTGGTGTGATCTTGGCTCACTGCAACCTCCGCCGCCTGGGGTCAAGCAATTCTCCTGCTTCTGCCTCAGCCTTCTGAGTGGCTAGGACTACAGGCACATGCCATGATGCCTGGCTAATTTTTTCGTGTTTTTAGTAGAGACGGCATTTCACTGTGTTAGCCAGGATGGTCTCCATCTCCTGACCTTGTGACCCACCCACCTTGGCCTCCCAAAGTGCTGGGATTATAGTTGTTAGCCGCCGCACCTGGCCTCCATCCTCACTATGTTTAAGTGCACAGCGCAGTGGCATTAAGCACATTCACACTGCTGTGCAGCTCTCACCACTGTCCATCTTAGAACTTTTTCCTTCCCAAACTGAAACTCTGCACCCATTAAACACTATTCTCCATGAATTTGACTACTCTAGGATTCTGCCCTTGTAAGTAGAATCATATGGTATTTGAGCTTTTGTGACACACTTATTTCACTTAGTGTGATGTCCTCAGGGTTCATCCATGTTGCAGCATGTGTCAGAATTTCCCTCTGTTGTATGTATAGACCACAGTTTGTTTACCCATTGATCCATCGCTGGACATTTGGGTGTTCCCAGCCTCTGGCTATTACAAGTAATGCCACTGTGAACATAGGTGTTCCAGTATCCTTTGGAATCTTGCCTTCAGTTCTTTTCACTTTACCCAGAAGTGTAATTTCGGATCATGGTAATTCTGTGTTTAATGTCTTAAGGAACTGTCATGCTACAACCTATTTAAAATTTTTTTTTTATTTTGAGATGGAGTCTCACTTTATTGCCTAGGAGGGATAGGCATAGGGATCTCAGTTCACTGCAACCTCCGCCTCCTGGGTTCAAGTGATTCTCCTGCCTCAGCATGTTGAGTAGCTGGGATTACAGATGTACACCACCACGCCTGGCTAATTTTTGTATTTTTGTAGAGATGGGGTTTCTCCATGTTGGCCAGGCTGTTCTTGAACTCCTGACCTCAGGTGATCCACCCACGTTGGCTTCCCAAAGTGTTGAGATTAACAGGTGTGAGCCACTGCGCCCAACCCCATACTGCAACTTAAAAAATATATATACTGTAAGCCTGAGTCACTTTTTATAATGAAAAACTAATACAAAGTAATCAAAAGCAATTCATACTTGTTTCCAAAAGCACCGGCAGGGTGGCTCATGCCTGTAATCCCAGCACTTTGAGAGGCATGTGGATCACGAGGTCAGGAGTTCAAGACCAGCTTGGCCAAGATGGTGAAACCCCATCTGTATTAAAAATACAAAAATTATCTGGGTGTGGAGGCGAGTGCCTGTAATCTCAGATACTGAGGAGACTGAGGCAGGGAATTCCTTGAACCTGGGAAGCAGAGGTTGCAGTGAGCCAAGATTGTGCTAATGCACTTCTGCCTGGGCAACAGAGCAAGACTCCGTCTTAAAAAAAAAAAACAAAAAACACCCAAAAGCTTCCCCTACCTAGAGAGGCCTGCTGTAAGACTCAGTGTGTTTCTTGGAATGATGCACATAGACCCTCGTTCATTAGTCAACCAATGCTGAGTGGTGCCAACACACCGTGGTCAGTGTGAGAGGTGGGGTTCCTGCTCTCAAAGCTGTGGAGACGAGTGTATGAGATCCGTTTTCTAGAAATGGGATCACATCACACATGCTGTTTCTTTCCCAATCTTTGAACTTACATTTACTGTATGTAGTTGTTTGCTTTGCTTTTCAATACATATCAGACCTCACCGTCATATTTCACAGCTGCAGGAGTTCCCCTTTCTGTTGCACTCACCACTACACGTGTAGCTTATTTGCACATTTTCACTATTACAGACAGTGCTGCTGTGAACACCTTGGGGCATCACTGTGCTAGGGTGGAGTGCGTGTTCCTGTTAGGGTACCCAATGCCCGTGGTCAGGCTGCGCCTCCTGCAGCGGGCGTGCCTCTGACCACTCCGAACTCTTTCCTGCATTTCCAGTCTGCCTGTCTCTTCCTTGGCTTTATTACTGCTTTAAACCCTTGCTTCCTGCCAACTCCCAAGAAAAGAAACAACGTAAGTTCTACATAACTTCTCTGGGGTTCCAGCCCCAAGGTCTTGGTTGAGAAAGGGGGTTTGTTTTTCCAGCGTAGGCCGTGAGAACTAGGAAATGATGGGGCGCACAAAGCTGAACAGGACTCTCCACCACAGGGCTCCCAGGAGGCTCCAGGTGGGAGGGGTGTACTCAGCTTCTTTCATTTAGGTGTGCCTGGTATTAGGCATCTTGGGGTGCTAGTGACCCCAGAACACAGATTGAGGAGTTCTGGGCTGCTCCAAAACTCCAGCTTGTGGGGATTTTTCCCCAGGCTCAAGCAAGTCTCTTCCTTCCGTCCACTCTGGCCATATCCTTGTGCCTGCCCTCCAGGAGCGCAGGACAGGGTCTAGGCACCAGTGCAGCCTTGTAGCCCACTCTGCCACCACCCCATGGGGTGAGGAGGGTGGGTGTGACGGCTCTAGAGCCCATAGCTTTGTGTTATCTTCAAGTGAGCCTTTGGAGAGGGAGTGAACGCCGCCCAGTTCACGGGGGAGACAGGGAGTCTTGTTTGGTTCAAGGACACAGGGTGGTGGAGGAGCCAAGAGTCAAAGCTCATGAAGTCCAGCACCGCTGCTTCTCGCTGCTGTGGGCTGGGCCTCCTCCTTTCCTGTGGGGTGTAGGAGGGTCAGGGTGTGGGGATTTCAGATAGCCATTCTTTATACTTTGCAAGGCTTCTTTGTGAAGACTTGACCATTTTCAAAAGAGATGACAATTTTTCTCCTACAGGCCGAGTCCAGGCCTGCAACCATGTTTAGTTAGTGTCAAAGTTTTTGTTTGGTTTTGAAATCAGGTGCCAACATTCAAAAATTGAGATTTTCTTTTTTACTTGAAAATTGGGGTTTCTTTTGTAAACAATCCAGTGGCGCCAAGCCACGTCTGCATTCCCACCTGGCCATAGTCGGCCAGAGCCGAGCAGCCCCTGTGGCTGCAGCAAGGGCTCCCTGCTCTGTCCCAGGCCCCAGAGGCCCCTTTCACTCATCCCTAGTATCTGCCTGACCCATGGGCATCCGAGCTTGAGAACCACTCCCTCCCTGGTGCTTCTTACCTGATCCTCCTCAGGTCAGCCAAGTGTAATTGGCAAAGAAAGTGTCACCATTCGAGGAAACAGACCCAGAGAGGGAGAGACTCTGGCAGGACTTCATGGTGGTCTGGACTTGGGCTTCAGGTTTCGGGTATGGGGCCTCTGCTCTTTCCCAGGGCTGGCTGCTGCACCATCTCACCAAGAACTCTGTCTCCTTCCTTCTGGGCAGATGCTGACCTTCATTATGCTTGCCCGGCTGGCCACCCTGTGTCCTGCACCTGTCCTACAGAGGGTGGACCGACTAATTGAGCCACTTAGGGCCACCTGCACTGCCAAGGTAAGTCTCTGACCTAGCCCTAGCGCAGGCCCTGGAGCACCTACTGAGTCCTCAGCCAGTTCATTTGCCCCTTACTAAGCACTTGCGCAGTGCAGGTGATGTTGTGAAAGCGCTTCATTTAATCATTATCATTGCCCTACAAAGTACTTCTTATCATCACTGTATACACAGGGGAACAGAAGCTTTGAGAGATTGTTATTGGCCAAGGCTACACAGCTAGTAGATTGCAGAGCTGGCTTCAGATCCACCTGTCTCTTCTTCCATTCATTAAATACTTCCTGGGTGCTGAGCCTCATGGGAGATACTAAAGATGTAACATTGAGCCTGATAGATTCCCTATTGTCAATCTCTCACCTCTTTCTTGGGAAGCTGGGTTAGATGATTCATCTAGAGCAAAGTTGCTGCTAGACTAGAGTGCCTGAAGGGTCTGGAGGAGGGATCTGGGGTGGAAGCTCCCTTGGAAAGCTGGTGTTGGGAGCAGAGCCAGGTGCACCTAGGTGGTACCTAGTAAGTACCTGTTGAATGAAAGAGTACATTTGGGTTTTCTGAGGATGGGAATCATTATCAAAAGGAGAGCAGTGTTTTAGATAGCAGTGCTTAAAAAGGAGACATACCCATAGAGCGGTGATTTTCAAAAATGAAATCTTCTGTGGATAAAACATTAAAATTAGTTTATTCATAGAAACCTGCCTTGTAAGTTTACATTTTTAATATATGCTCACTATTGAGTCAATCCAAAAAAAATCTTCTGCAAGACCAGGGCAGTTTTGACAATCTCTGGCCAAATCATATCTAGTTTTCTCTGAGCTCTATTACACCAAGAAAAGTCCCAGTTCTTAAGAGGGGAGGGAGGTATACATGGTACTGCTGTGCCAGAACATTCTTGCAGTAGGCCAAGGTGACAAGAGAAGCTCTGCTCAGAGTTCCCACAAGAGCGACTCATCTGGCCATGCAGAAGATGCTGTCTGTTGGGCACTGGGATAAGCATGGACACATCCACACCCACAATCCTTACCCATGACTCTAAAATCTACCAAGCTCTGACAACCAAAAGCTTTTTAGGAACCTGTCAACAGGACTTGAAGTGGCATGAGGCTATGATCTTTAATTTTCTTTTGTTAAACAGTCAGCCCTCTGTATCTGCAGGTTCCACACAGATTAGAGTCAGAAAACAGGCGGGGTGCTGTGGCTCACGCCTGTAATTCCAGTACTTTGGGAGGCCGAGGCCGATGGATCACAAGGTCAGGAGATGGAGACTGTCCTGGCCAACGTGGTGAAACCTTGTCTTTACTTAAAATACAAAAAACTAGCCAGGTGTGGTGGCGCATGCCTGTAGTCCCAGCTACTCGGGAGGCTGAGGCAGGGGAATCGCTTGAATCCAGGAGACAGAGGTTGCAGTGAGCTGAGATCATGCCACTGCACTCCAGCCTGGTGACAAAGCAAGACTCCATCTGGAAAAAAAAATCAGAAAACAAAAGCAAAATATATATATGCCAGGAGTGGTGGCTCAGGCCTGTAATCGTAACACTTTGGGAGGCTGAGGCAGGTGGATCACCTGAAGTCAAGAGTTCAGGGCCAGCCTGAACTCTTTTAGTGTCTCTACTAAAAATACCAAAATTAGCTGGGCGTGGTGATGTGTACCTGTAATCCCAGCTACTTTTGGGAGGCTGAGGCAAAAGAATCACTTGAACCTGGAGGGGTGGAGGTTGCAGTGAGCCGAGATTGCACCACTGCACTCCAGCCTGGGCAAAAGAGCGCAACTCTGTCTCAAAAATAATAAAAAATTTAAAAATGTAGGAGCCGAGCATGGTGGCTCACACTTGTAATTCCAGCACTTTGGGAGGCCAAGGTGGGCAAATCTTCTGAGGTCAGGAGTTCGAGACCAGCCTGGCCAACATGGTGAAACTGTGTCTCTCAATTAAAAATACAAAAATTAGCCGGGTGTGGTGGTACACACCTGTGATCCACTTATGGAGGCTGAGGCAGGAGAACTGCTTGAGGCTGGGAGGCGGAGGTTGCAGTAAGCCAAGATTACACCACTGCACTCCAGCCTGAGCGACAGAGTGAGACTCCATCGCAAAAAAAAAAAAAAGGCTGGGCTCAGTGGCTTACACCTGTAATCCCAGCACTTTGGGAGGCCTAGGCAAGTAGATCACTTGAGGTTGAGACCAGCCTGGCCAACACAGTTAAACCCCATCTCAGAAAAAAAAATTGTATAACAACTGCTTACATAGCATTTGTACTGCATTAGGTATCAAAAGGAATCTAGAGATGATTTAGAGTGTACAGGAAGATGCATCTAGGTTCTATGCCAATGGAACACTTTTATATGAGACTTGAGCATCTGAGGATTTTGGCATCCCCTGGGATCTTGGAATCAATCTTCCATGGATACTGAGGGATACCTGTACCTCACAAATCTACAGAGACAAAGAACCTCTGTGGGAAACAAGTCAGTATAAAAGCCCAGAGGTGGAGTTAGGAAATACTCATACATTTTTCATACATGTAGTGGAGTATTCATGTATTTGATTACAGGGAATTGTACCAGATCCCCCCGAGAATGTTATCTGCATAGTATTACCTTTCTAAAACCCCAAGTGTCCTGGATTCCAAAGCACATCTGGCTCCAGGGGTCTCAAAGAAGGGAGTGTAGACTTGTGTCATTTAATTATCTGGGCAACTCCTTTTTTTTTTTTTTGAGACAGAGTCTCACTTTCGCCAGGCCGCAGTGCAGTGGCGATCTCAGCTCACTGCAATCTCTGCTTCCCAGGTTCAAGTGATTCTCCTACATCAAGGAGATTCAAGCCTCCTGAGAGTAGCTGAGACTACAGATGCACACCCCGACACCCAGCTAATGATAGTAGAGATGGGGTTTCACCATGTTGGCCAGGATGGTCTTGATCTCTTGACTTCGTGATCTGCCCATCTTGGCCTCCCAAAGTGCTTTGATTATAGGCAGCTTTTATTTATAGATGGGGAAATGAGGCTCAAAGATGTAGCTACCTGGAGTCACAGCTCTTGGGGGTAGAGCCATTTGAACACAGGACTGTGCAACTCCAATGTCAAGCTGTTACTCACTACAGTGGATTCTTTCTGTAGAGCCCAGCATAAGAAGGAATTTGAACTTTGGAGGAATTACTGAGCTCCTTTGCCTAAGTGGGAGATGGTGGGGAAGTCAACAGAAACTGCAGGAGGTAGTCTGAGGTGCTTACTCTCCAGCTGCATATATAGAACGAATTTCCAGGCAGGGGCTTGAGTGGGGGAAGAGGCTGCTACAAGACCACCTCAGGGATTCATTCATTCCGTCTAATATAAAGTGCTAAGAGCTGGTTTTAAGCACTTTAAGTATACGCTGGATCCCTGCAATCTGTGGGAGGTAAGTGTTTGCCACTGTCAATTAACAAAAAGTGGGCATGTTAGATTGGCGGGTCAGAGGCCCCTGAGGCTGTACTCAAGCTGATTTGAATGACAAAGAACCTCTGTGGGAAACAAGTCTGTGTAAAAAACCCAGAGGTGGAGTTTGGAAATAGCCTTAGGAGACCCTGCAGCAGGAATTTACCTTAGGGATTATGGGGCAGAGGAGGCCAAAGACCAGTGAGGAGGCAGTGGTGCCAGCCAGGCGCAATAAAGGATGGCTTCTTCTGCTGTTTCCTACTTTAGGTCAAAGCTGGTTCTGTGAAACAGGAGTTTGAAAAGCAAGATGAACTGAAGCGCTCTGCAATGAGGGCAGTGGCTGCCCTGCTGACCATCCCTGAGGTGGGGAAAAGCCCCATCATGGCCGACTTCTCTTCCCAAATCAGATCCAACCCTGAACTTGATGCCCTCTTTGAAAGCATCCAGAAGGATTCCGCTTCAGCCCCCAGCACAGACTCAATGGAGCTCAGCTAGTCTCCCCAGCACCCAGGTGGGCCCTCATTCAAGAGAAAGGAGCCCACCCAACCATGAGGCCTCTACTTTTGCCCTTCCACCACCTCACTGGGGGCCCTGCCGCTCCCTGTCAGGGCTTACAGTGCCTTCTCCAGGGACCCAACTCCAAGGCCCTGAGGTCGAGCTGCAAGGCTGCCAACAGTTGGGCCCCATCCTTAACTCAGGACAGTCATCCAAAGAAACAGGTTGTTTTCCAGTGACTTCACACTACCCCTCCACAGTCTGGTTCCTTCAGAGGGTGTCTCTACCTCACAAACTAGTAGTATTTAGAAATAGGCTGTGCTGTCAGCTGTGAATGTTAAGGAGGCAGCAGACACCACTTTGGTTTCTTCACTGTACTCGGCAAGGCCTCTAAGTTAGTGCTCAGGCTGGGCATCTCAAAAAGAAAACTTGAGTTGCGTTTTAAAATTCAAAATGGTTCATTTCTAAGTGGCAGTGCTGAATCCGAAATTTGGATGGCATGGGTTTCTTTTTCCCAGGAAGGATGAATGGGTTGGGTGGGGAACTGGACAGGTTTGGACCTCGTTTCATTTCTAACTTCACATGCCAACAACACCCGGGCAAACCAGTTGGTTTGTTTCTGAGGAAGGTTTCAAATGTGTCTAGTGTTAGTAGAGGGCAAAGAAATACAAGTGGCAGGCCTAAGTATTTTCCGTGATATCCCAGGTTAATAAAGATTAGATCCTAAGTTATTTATTTTCTCTACACAACTTGTCTCCAATTGTTAGACCAGTATCTTGAATATACTTGTCAATTTGTAAGAAATCCCCAAAATTAGGCTGGGTGAAATGGCTCACGCCTGTAATCTCAGCACTCTGGGAGGCTGAGGCAGACAAGATCACCTGAGGTCAGGAGTTTGAGACCAGCCTGGCCAACATGGCAAACCCCTGACCCTACTAAAACAAAAATTTGCTGGGTATGGTGGCACACCTGTAGTCCCAGCTATTAAGGAGGCTAAGGGTGGTAGGGGGGAATCAAATCGCCTGAACTCAGGAGGCGGAATTTGCAGTGAGCCGAGACTACGCCACTGCACTCCAGCCTGGGTGACAGCATGACAGTCTCAAAAAATAAAAATAAATCCCCAAAATGACCAATGTACATCATAAATATTTATGACTAAGTTTTTGAGTCTTGCTGTCGCCCAGGCTGAAATGCAATGGTGTAATCTTGGTTCACTGCAACCTCCGCCTCCCAGGTTCATCCAGTTATCCTGCCTCAGCCTCCCAAGTAGCTGGGATTACAGGTGCACGCATGCCACTGTGTGTGGCTAATTTTATATACTTTTTTTTAGTAGAGACAGGGTTTCACCATGTTAGCCCGCCTGGTCTCCAACTCCCGACCTCAGGTGATCTGTCCACCTCAGCCTCCCAAAGTGCTGGGATTATAGGTGTGAGCCACTGCGCCCAGCGTTATGACTAGGTTTTGTACGGGAGACCATCTGTAAGATGCCTGTTTACCAGAATGAGACTAGACCTAGAAAAGCTTTATTATAACCAGCACAGCATTTCTGCTAAGTTGACTAACATGGTTACAGAAAAGCATCCGGTAAGCATTTGTCTCTTAAACTAGTAAGTACCACATTCCATATCCCCCAGACCTACATACTACCATGTTAAGATGCCTGTAATCCCAGTACTTTGGAGGGCCAAAGCAGGTTTACTTGAGTTTAGGAGTTTGAGACGGCCTAGGCAATATGGCTAGACTCTGAAATTTTTTTTAAAAATTAGCCAGGTCGAGAGGTGCGCATCTATAGTCCCAGCCACTTGGGAGGATGAGGTGGAAGGATCACCTGAGCCCAGGGAGGTCGAGACTTCAGTGAGTGCACCATTGCATTCCCAGCCTGAGTGAGAACAAAACTCCATCTCTAAAAAAAAAAAAAAATCAGGGCCATGCATGACAAGAGGCCCAACTGTCACCAGTTAGCTCCCTGCTTTGGGAAACTGGTGTAACATTATACCTGAAGCAGCAGCTGGTAGGGAGGTTATGAGAGACTGAAAGTGCTTTTCCAGTAACCACGGTGGATTACCTGGAAGATATCTGTACATCATCCTCTTATTTTTGGAGAGAAGTGAGTTACAGGATGCAATTTAGGTATCCCATAACAATATGTGTAAGAAAGTCATCTGGATTTTTCCATGCAGATTTTCTCAGTTCTCAAAAGCATCACATGGAGTAACTGTCACCTAACTTTACAAAGTGAGGCTAAGAATGACTGCTTGTGGCATGGGAGCTGTAAGCTTCAAGTGTGTCAGAACCTACCTTGTGTGAGAACCAAGTCCGTGCCCTCATCCCCAGCCTTAACTGGAGATGACTAAGGCTAGTGTGTGCACTTGAGACCATGTTCCCATTCAAGGACCCTCCAAATGGGAGATTCCGAAGGGCTTAACAAGCAAAAGAACAATCTCTGACAAACTTAGCCAAGAAGCTGAAGACTTAAAATTAAGGAAGATGGCAGTTTTATTTAAACACAAAACGTGCACATAAGCTGTCTATTCATTTTCTTCACTGCGCAGCCTGGCATTGGGGTTGGTGACTCTGATGGCCAGCTGGGCAGCTCTTTCCACGATGGCTTTGCGGTTCTTGGAGGAAACATTGTGAGCGATCTCAGCACAGTAAGATCTGTAAAAGAATCAAGTGGGTAAGAAGCAAGGCAGCCCTGAATACAACTGGAAAATTCCATTGCGGAGGCAATGCGTCCTAGCACCAAGCCAAGGGAAGGCTGCTTGGTAAGTGGCTGTGGAATGACATCTACATGCCCTCAAATCCTGACTCCCCGATTCTACAGTTCCCTGGTGGTGACAAGAATGCTTTCATTTATTATCTCTCATCTAATCCTCATAGCAGCCTTGGAATCCAGACCGTACCTCCATTTTACAGGTAAGGGAAACCAAGGCTCACAGCAAACAATGGGCAGGGATCTGGTGAACCCAGGCCCATGCTCCAGGTTCAGAGGTTCTCTCCAGTTGTAGGGTGCTTGACCTTGCCCATGAAGTTTCAGAACTCTCTGCAAAGTGGTCAAGAGCAGAACCCAGAGTCTGAATGGAGCCAAGAGCACCCAGTTTGACTGCTGAAGATACAAAGCAAGCTGAGAAACAGCAATGCTTAAAGTCACCCTGTCATAGTCATACCTTTACCTGAGGACTTGGTGTGCCAAATCTGGTTTTAGCTCATTCCTCAAAACTTTTTTTTTTTTTTTTTAAGAGTCTCGCTCTCTGTTGCCCAGGCTGGAGTGCACTGGCGCCATCTCAGCTCACTGCAACCTCAGCCTCCAGAGTAGCTGCGATTACAGGCACCCACCACCACGCCTGGCTAATTTTTGAATTTTTAGTAAAGACGGGGTTTCACTATCTTGGCCAGGCTGATCCTGAACTCCTGACGTCGTGATCGACCTGCCTCAGCCTCCCAAAATGCTGGGGTTACAGGCATGAGCCACCACACCTGGCCTCCTTACAACTTTTTAAAAGGCAGCTATACTGTGCCCTATTTAATAACCAATTGGCCTAATGAGCACATTTCAGTAAGGTGGTGATTTATGAAGCCACCCACAGTGGATTTAAGAACAAACATTCCACCCCTGAAACATTTTCAGCAAAGAAAGCAACAGGACTGAAGAACGATTAAATGAGGCAATGGACACACAGCTCTTTTCAAGAAGCCCACCTGAATAGCAAGACAGCAAATCCAGACAATTCCTTGTTTTATACAGAAGTCCACTCAAATTCAAAGCAACTATATTTTAAAATGTTTCTAAGTTTTCAAGACTTAGGTTATATTCCAGTTCTCATCTGTCTTTACTGTTCAAAAACCCCTCCTGTCCTTGTCCCCCCACATATTTGATAATCACAATCAGAGCGCACTCACCATTTGAAATGCGTCCCCCTGGCTTCAGCACTTTCCATACTCTAACACTCCAGTCATCCTGAATGGACACACATCATTCCATCCAGCACTTTACAAGTCACTAATTACCTTTTCAGTTGTTTCCAGTGGACTGTTGCTACAGTGACTAGCTTTAGTTTCCCTGCTTTTCCATTCCTTAAGGACAAATGCCCAGAAATGGAACTTAGAGATTAAAGGTCAGAGAGAGAGTACTTCTAAGGCTCTTAGACTGCCAAGCTGTGTTTATAGAGAATAGGGCAAGCAGCTAACATGTGCGCTGCAACTGAGTAATCATGTTGGCCATACAACAGGTATTGCCTGTTACAGCTCAACTCATACAGCCAACTGTGTTTCCGTGTCCACTGTTAATTCCTACACCCATCTTTTCAAACGGAAATTTTCAGCATTTAACGCCTGGTTACTTTTCCAACCTTGGAAGGTAATCATGTCAGAATAATGCTCTCGTTCATTTTTATTACTTGTATCTACAACCACTGTCGATAAAAGATCTTTGCAAACCAACACAAACATCCTAGTCACACACACTCCACGTTCTTTCTAGTTTAGGAAAATTCAGCTTTTTGGCTTCCATTTACCAGTAAGTGAAGACAAATTGTCATTTCCCATGAGAATTTTTCATTCCACTGCCCTAGTTTTTTGGTCTAAGCAGATCACCAAATCTCTTATACACAGAGCTCACCAAGTGTCTAACTTACTTTAAACACCTAGAACTAGCTGGGTGTGGTACAGTGTGCCCGTGGTCCTAGCTACCAGGAAGGCTGAGATGGGAAGACGGCTTGAGCCCACCTTGAGTTTGGAGCTGCAGTGTGCTATGATCACAGCTGTGAATAGCCACTACACTGCAGTCAGGGCAACATAGAGCCTGTCCATCACTAAAATCAAATCCGGCCGGGTGCAGTAGCTCATGCCTGTAATACCAGCACTTTGGGAGGCCGAGGTGGGCGGCTCACGTAAGATCAGGAGTTCAAAACCAGCCTGGCCAACATGGTGAAACTCCATCTCTACTAAAACCACAAAAATGAGCCAGGCATGGTAGTGGTGCGTGACTGTAATCCCAGCTACTTGGGAGGCTGAGGCAGGAGAATCACTTAAAACTGGGTGGCGGAGGTTGCAGTGAGCTGAAATCAAGACACTGTATTCCAGCCCAGGCAAGAGAGCTTGACTCCATCTTAAAGAACAACAAAACCAATAAACCTACCAGAAGCAATGCGCTGTAAACCCTCCATGCGCTCTTTCACCTCTACACCTTTGTGTAAGCACTCTCTGCCTGCTAAGTTTTCTTCCTGTTCTGCACCTAATCCAAACTTGGTTCTAAAGCCCTCCCACCCCTAAAGAAATCCCTTACCATACAGCAAAGACTTAAGGGCCCCTTAATGTCTGAGATCCATGTTTGATCTTCTCCCTACCCTCCTTGTAAACCAAAAATAAAATTCAAAGCCCCCAGCAACCATCTGAATACACTCCCTCCTTGAACAGGGCACTCTTGGTTTCGGAAACCTCTTATCATAGCCAAGATCTTCCCTTCTAGTGATCACTAATTCCCAATCAGAAACATAAAATCTATCCAAAACCTGGAAGTGCCGCCTTTCTGGACCAAACCAACAGGTGCCTTAAATTGATTTGATCTCTCATGTCTCCCTAAAACATGTAAAACCAAGCAGTTCCCAATCCACCTTGGGCACATGTTCTTAGGGTCGCCTGAGGGCTGTGTAACGGGCCATGGCCAACTCATATTTGGCTCAGAATTATCTCTTCAAATATTTCAGAGTTCAACTCTTTTGGTGGACACCCTCATAAAGAAAGCAATGTTCTGGAAACAACAGCCAAAGGATAGTGTAGTAGTGGAAAGTGGTTGTTATTGCAGTGTTTACTGCAGTGTTTATAAAGCAGTTTCTTCCTGGGCTTGGGTCTCTACGCTTAGCAGACCAAGTCTCTGTCCTCTCCAGCAAAGGAAACATTCTGAACTCCCCAACAAGCATCCTCTAAAAATCCTGCAAGGAACAACTTCAGATTCCCTCAGAGAATGTACAACTCCCCAAAATGCATCCCAAATGTTTCTCGAGTTCCTGCCAGAAGTGCTCACACAGATGCAAACTTCTGATCCCTGAAAACAGGAGGTGGGACCCAACTCACTTGTTGCACATCAGCAGCACTTCCAGCTCCTTGACGTTGTGGACCAGGAACTTCCGGAAGCCACTGGGCAGCATGTGCTTTGTCTTCTTATTGCTCCCATAACCAATGTTAGGCATTAAGATCTGGCCCTTGAACCTTCTACGAACCCTGTTGTCAATACCTCTGGGTTTCCGCCAGTTACGCTGAAGGAAATAACACACAGGTGGGTTAGTGTCTGTGCAGAGTGCCAATTCTTCCTTTCGGGGAGGAAAAAAAGGACCAAATGAAAAGTATGCCACACAGTAACCGCCTTTGGTTAAGAGGACTTCATTATTTCCTTATATACTTTTTTGGTGGGTAGCTTTAGCAACTAGGAATGCAGGCACCTCCACCATTCCCACTCCCAAGCAACGGAGGAGACACCAATAGGATGTCAAGGGACTGTGTAGACACTGAGATGAGCACAGGTGCAGACACTACTCTCAGCACCTGAGTTTTCTTGCCTATATAAAATAGGGATCCTGCTGTCGTAAGGCAACCCGAAATACATGACACAAATGCAAAGCCCTCTAAACACATCAAAACTGCCAAGTATCCACTTTCATTTAAATTTCACTTCACACATCAAGAGACTCAAGTACCAGCACTAAGACACAGTGGGGGAGACCTTTATTTTCTGGAAGAAAGCTCTTCCACAAACCAGTTCATGGGCCAAAGGTAAGCCTGACTAGGTGATGTCAGAAACTGACAGCCTGTCATTAACTTTCTTCACCCACACCCATTTCCATCCCAGGACCACATACCTTAATTTTGACATATCGGTCTGACTGGTGCCGGATGAACTTCTTGGTTCTCTTTTTGACGATCTTGGGTTTCACAAGGGGTCTAAGGGCGGCCATGATGCCTTTTGGGAAAGAAGCAGCCCCAGGTGAAGAAGAATCCTGGAAGGAGGTTTTCCCGCCCTGGGACTGAACACTGTTGCAGAGTATCTTCCAATCGCCAGCTACGGAGCAAGCTGGGAATGGAATGGGTGCCTCTGCCAGGCTTGTTTTCCCTCCCTTTCCGAAGCTGGCAGAATACTAGGCATTCTCCAGACGCGATCCCAGGAGGTCAGGAGTCATCCCACCCTCTGAGCCCAAATAATGCCAACAGCTGAGCAAACCAAAACTGACCCCAAGACACACTCAAGTTGCAAGGGGCGGCAAATCCCACCCCACCAGTGTCCGAACCCCCAAATGGTCCTTCCGGTAGTACTAGCCTTGATTATCTACTTGAACCGGAGTGTCAGTTTCCTCGCCTGTAAAATGGAGATGACACAACTCGCTGAATGTCTGCAGTGCCTGTCACACAGTAAACGTTCAATAAAGAGAACCTTCTAATTGCCTACACTACCACATCCACAACACACACAAAAAACCATCATGTCCCTCTAAGCCGCCTCGAATATGGAGATCCTCCAGTATCAACTCACACCTTCCTCAGCGTGGTCTTCTGAGTCTATTTCCTACAAATACACCCTTTCTGTTCTCTTCGCAGCCATCAACTGGCACAGAGTGGGTACTCGATGAACCACGTATGCAAAACGACTTTGCCTTCTGGCCTATGATATTCTCAAAGACAAAGTGGGGGTAGCTGCATCTTCATCTTCCCAGAGATACTACAGAATTGGGCCGGCAACGGAACCAGCCGACCTACACCTGGTTTTTCCTTGGCGGTCCCGCCGCAGCAGCCCTAGGGCGAGACTGCAGGGGAAGAAGCGGACCATGGCAACGAACGAATACACGTGAGCGCTGGGCTCCACGGAACTCAGCTGAAGGCTGTTAAGCTGGGCTACCACTGTTTCTTCCTGCGGCACCCAGGAGACCCCGCAGTCTGGCCTCAACTGGCACCCTCCACCGCCAAGAAACAAACAAGCAGCCCGCAGCTGTGACTACAGGCTGAGGGCAGGAGGCCCTGGGGACGCAAAGTCCCATCACCCCGAGCTCCTTCACTCTGTGCCTGTACATGCCCCAGTAAGCCGACAATAACAATATCCACAGACACTATCGCGCCGAAGGGGAGACCTCCGCACCACTGGGCGAGGGGGCCAGATGAACGCAGCAGGAATGCGGATGGCCACGGATTAAAACTCACCGACCAAGAGACGGCTGCTATCTCCGTAGGCAGCGCCGAGGAAAAGAAGGGACGCTGGTGCGCAATGGCTGATGGGACGTAACCCCCTAGGTCCTGGCAGGGAAAAGGCGACCACTTCCGGCTCCGGCTCTTTCAAAGACACATAAAAGGTGCCTCAAAAAATTCTGAGTATAACTTTTTAATAGACATTAATATATATGAATATAACTGAAAAACGTATCCTACTTGTCCTTGGGACTACGTAGAAATTTGGAATTATTTCTGAGCTAAGACCTGGTGGAGCGAGGAATTTACTTCCGCCAGAAGTTGAAGCCTCTCCGCTTTGGGGCTATTTCCGCCCGCGTTTCTTCTGTTCCGAAGTGCGCCTCTTAGTGGTCAAGAGAGAACAAGACAGAGACTTCCTAATTTCCTCACCGAATTTGGACAGTAAATAGTAACGAGACTGTAACAGCTAACATGCAGTGGGGTTCACTAAGCCTACAACAATTCTATAATGTACCCCTATTATTGTCTCAGTTTTGCATATGTGGAAAGTGAATTTTGGAGAGTTGACTCCAAACTCTATGCTTCTAATCAGTAGGCTAAACTGCCTAGTTTTTTTTGCTTATTTTTCAGAGATGGGGTCTCACTGTGTTGCTCAGGCTGGTCTTGAACTCCTGGGCTCAGACGATCCTTCTGCCTCAGCCTCCTGAGTAGCTGGGATTACAGACACGAGCTCCTGGGCCCAGTAGCTACTGCCTAGTTTTTTTGTTTGTTGTGTTTTTTTGATACACGGTCTCCCTCTGTCACCTAGGCTGGAATGCAAAGGCGCCATCTCACAGCTCACTGCAGCCCCTACCTCCCAGACTGCCTAGTTTTTTATTTGTTTTACTTAGCTTTTGAATTTAAGATTATAGTGAAAATTGGCTGAGCACTAAGGTTCACACCTATAATTCCAATACTTTGAGAGTCCGAGGCGGAAAGATTTGCTTGAGCCCAGGAGTTCAAGACCAGCCTAAGCAACATAGTAAGACCCTGTCTCTACAAAAACTAAAATAATTAGCTGGGCCTGGTGGTGCATGCCTGTAGCCCCAGTTACTCGAGAGGCTGAGCTGCAACGATCACTTGAGCCCAGGAGTTCAAGACTGCAGTGAGCCATCATGATGCCTCTGCACTCCAGCCTGGGTGACAGAACAAGACTTTGTCACGACAACAAGAAACCTATAAAAACAACCCCATTGAAAAATGGGTAAAGAAGCCAAACACATTTCTCTGTGGCCAATAAGCACATGAAATGATGATCCACATCATTAGCCATCAGGAAAGTGCACACTGGAAGTGCAGTGAGATACCACTTTACCCTAAGCAGGACGGAGAAATGGGACTCCTGTACAGCACTAGTGCAAATATGAAATGGTGCAGTCACTTTGGAAAAGAGTAGCAGTTCCTCAAAATGTTAAACAAAGAGATACTATATGACCTAGCAATTCCGCTTTCAGGCATATGCTCAAGAGAAATGAAAACATATGTCCACACAAAAACTTGTACATGAATAATCATAGCAGCTTTACTCATCATAGCCACAAAGTAGAGGCAACCCAAATGTCCATCAACTGATGAACAGATAAATAAAATGTCAGCTATCATTCAATGAAGTATTATTCAGCAATGAAAAACAATGAAGTACCAGTACATGTTACAGCACGGATGAACCAGACACAAGAGGTCACATATCGTATGACTCCATTTATATCAATTGTCCAGAATAGGCAAATCCAGAGAGACAGAAAGTTATGTTAGTTGTTGCTAGGGCTGAAGAGAGGGAGGAATTGGGATAGACTACTAATGGGGTTTACTTCGGGGTGATGGAAATGTTCTAGAATTAGATGGTAATGATGATTGCACAACTCAATGACTATATGTTGAAAGCCACTTAATTGTACGCCTTTTTTTTTTTTGAGATGGAATCTCACTTTTGTCACCCAGGCTGCATTGCAATGTTGTGATCTCGGCTCACTGCAAACTCTGCCTCCTGGGTTCAAGTGATACTCCTGCCTCAGTCTCCCGAGTAGCTGGGATTACAGGTGCCCATCACCACACCCGGCTAATTTTTGTATTTTTAGTAGAGATGAGATTTCACCGTGTTGCCTAGGCTGGTCTCGAACTCCTGACCTCAAGTGATCCGCCGACCTCAGCCTCTTAAAGTGACGTGAGCCACTGCGCCCAGCAACTGTACATTTTAAATGGGTGAATTGTACAGGATGTGAACTACATCTCAAAAGTTGTTATAAAGAGCACTAATATAGGCATCGTTGCAGAAAAAAAGGACAATCTTTCAACTGAATAAATTCAGCTTCGCAAAATACTTTTTAAAAAAAAGAGGAAAAAAGAAGCCAAGGGGACCCATTGAACCACAGCAAGAACTATACATGCAGAGGAGGGGGGCCTTTGGGAGCAAAACCACCCACAGCCTCCAGCTTGGCTGAGGAGCCTTTCACACTCCTACACTCCTGCACTCCTGGAGCACTTGGGACTGGGGGAGGTGCCACTGACTCTAGGAGCTGAGGATTGGGCTGTGTGGAGTGGGAAGAGGGAGAAGCCGAGGTAGAGAGGCCCATGTTCACCATATCTTTTTGAAGATTCTGGCCTGAGACTCCATCTCAGGTTCTAGATGGAAACACAGCTCAGGAACATACCTGGGCTTTTCCTCATGTGCAGAAAGGGGTCAGATGTTTTCAGTCATCTCTCTAGTTTTCATGGACTAGGCCAGGAAAGGACACAACGAATCAAGTCCATGAATCCCGCCATGAAGGTATGTGGGAAGTGCCCACACTGCTGTCAGAATCAGAGACCTTGACCATCTCTCCCACCTTAGTTGGCGGATGCTAAGGAAAGCAGCATTGTGTAATACATGGCCAGTGATTACACCGATAATAAAAGCCACCATTTACAGAGTGTCTCTGATGTGCCAGGCTACTAGCCAGGTGCTTCCCATAGATAACAGGTAATAAGAGTGACAGCCAGAATCTATGAGATGCTGCTCCTGAGTCAGGCTTTACAGGCATCTTCCCATTCGATCCTCACGGCTTTGTCTAGCTGTGCAACAACTGAGTTACAGATGCCTGCAGAGAAGCCTCCAACCGGAAGCCTGGCCCTGCAGGATGAAAGGATGAAGTCACATTGTAGTCATCTTCGAGGCAGCCAAGGGCCAGAGTCTCGCTTGTCTCCCCAGGTCTTTTTAGGAGGGAGGATGCCATACAGCCAAGCAGATGCCATACCCCTGCAAGTGGCCCAGGGTGCTCCTCACTTTCAATTCAAAGGGCTCCAGAGCTGCCACTTCCTCTAGGGGCAGGGCAGTCCATTTCGAGACAATCCATGTGGGCACTGTTCTAGATCCTCACGCCAACTTAATGAGGCAGGTACATTGCTCTCCCTATTCCATGCAGGAGGAAACTAAGGCTCAGCAAGGCTATGCCACATTTCCATGAGTGCACAGCCAAAAGTTTGGTGGAATTCAAGCCTAGTCTGTTTCCTAAGCTCATGCTCTTTTGGCCATGTACCCTCCCCACTTGCATGCTATAAGGAGCATCTGGATGTTCTGGGGTTTACCTGCATGGTAAAGGGCTATTCAGAGCTATTGGCTGATACACCGTGCTGCTGATTCTCACTTGTAAATCAACTGGCCTGGATCTAGAAGTCTTCATCCGAAGGCAAGGACCATACTTTTCCTCTCTACAAAAGTAACTGGTTGCTGTGGGGTCCCACTATTGTCATTTGTCATGTCTTACTGAGGTCAAAATGCCTGCCTCTCCTCAAGTGCTATGAGCTGGGAAGTGGGTTAAACTTCTAAGAGTGTCTCCTGGAAAAAAGTAAAGTGCCTTTGAGTGCGCTCCATGTTGACCGCCTGTGGCCTTAGCTGCACACATCTGGGTGCTCAGCATAATTCCAGAGAACTATGGATCCCCAGGAGGTGCCTCTGTATATGGGAGATGTTCCTGTCCTGCTGACGGGGGGACAGAACCTGCCCATGGTGACATGCACCTGCTGAGTGCTACAGATCATTTTCATTGGTCATAGTGATATCCTGGGGCCTAGAACAGATATGGATGGAATTTCATGTCTGGTAAATTCTTCTGGAATTTTATATTTTATAGCGATAGGGTTTTGTTATATTGACCAGACTTGTCTGGAACTCCTGGGCTCTAGCATTCCTCCTGCCTTGGCTTCCCAAAGTGCAGGATTTACAGATGTGAGCGCCTACGCCCAGCCAAACCCGTTTGTTTTGTTTTTTTTTTTCAGCCCACTGCAAGATTTTAATTCATTCCAACTACTTGGAGTTAGTCTGTCTGGTGAGCCTAAGCTATGTGCAGGATTTTTAAAAGATGATTTCTGTCTGTTGGGAAGCATGTCAAAATGCCCTCTCTGAGCACCCCATCTGCAATAGGGTCACCCCCATTTCCACCATCACTTTTCCTGGTTTCCTTCCTAGTTCCTATCCCTATGGGATTTTTCTGCACTGATAGACTAGTCTCTCTTGCCCAGTTAGTGCCCTCTCCCCACCCTGAGGGTCAGCCCCAGGAAGGCCAGGCCATTGTGCCTTGGGGTACCTGTTGCATGTGCCCTTGATGAGTGGCCCGCAGGGGACATGGCCACACTCAGGAAGCTGTGGTCCTGGGGCTGCTGTGTCCGGGTAGGCAGCACTTAGGAAGGACAAGCTCCAAAACCCAGGGCTCCAAAACACCCATGGGAAGGTTGGGGGGCCCAGGGGAGTGACCCTATGCTGGGTCCAGTGCTTTGAGGCCACTGGGGACACAGCAGAGAGGACCCCCCAAGGTATCTTGAGGTGCTGAATGTCACTGGGAGCCACAGAACCTGCTGAGAGCACCCAACAGTTTGGGGGCAGCATTGCCTGGAGGGAGGTGGCCACAGCAGCCCACAGGGGTCAGGCTGAGCCTAGGGAGACCAAGCTGGGCAGGGCCTTCACCCACGGGAGTCCTGTTTCAGGCCCACTCCCAGCACCTGGCCCTGCCCCAGTCTCTGTCCTGTCTGTGCCTGTAGCCACGGAGCCCCAGCTTGTCCCACCAGGAGACACCACCAGTCTGTCCATATGTTTCACCTTTTTGCTTCTTCCCTGCGAAATGGGCAATAGGTCAGGGATGCACTCTGTTATAA